AATAAATCTTTAAAAAAATAAACATATTTAAAAGAAGTGTTGTCCCTTTTAGATAGGAGAATTGAATTATATCGTGTATGACGGTAGCATATGGACACCTTGTAATGAGACTGTGCCTTGTAGTGTGTCATCTTGGAGAAGCCCAATCACACCACACATGGTTCTCTTTATGGAGTGTATCTGGTATACCACAGTGAGCTGTGAAGGCTGTGCGTGATGACTGAAGGGCAGCTACAGCCATTGTAGCTCACACTCACATTGATGGTCTCGGATTTAATTTCCTTGTACGAGGCAGCAGTGGGACCTGGCATTTTTCTACTCTCCTTTTGGATCCTCCCTCAGCTTTTGAATCTCCTGGGCCAGGTATGCACATTAAAACTCCGTGACAAATGACTGTTACAGGATGCCCTATGCTAACAAAGGCAGTGATGACAAGGGCAGACGCACACCTCAGTCTGTCCTTACAGTATTCAGATCGCATTTGCGAGTTTCAGCCTGTTTGGTACCTCCCTGTCCTTAGTGGAGCTGACAGCAAGCACAGAGGCTGACTGCTTGATTGCCTCCCGCGTCCCTTGGAGCAAACCAAGCTGTCAATCCCCTGCTTTGCTAAGCTCCATTGCATCACCTGCTTAGAGTTTATGTGGGTTTCCTCTGTGCTGAGAACTTGTAAGTCTATCTTGAAATCTCTCTCTTTTTTTAAAGATTATTTTTTATTTGAAAGACAGATTTCAGGCAGATTTCTTTCTCTGCAGAGGGAGAAGGAGAGATACAGAGAAAAAGTATTCCATCCGCCGATTCACTCAACAAAAGGGCAAAATGGCCAGAGCTTAGCTGATCCGAAGCCAGGAGCTTCTGCTCTCACACAGTTGCAGAGTTCCAGGGACTTGGGCCTGCTTTCCCAGGCCACAAGCAGGGAGCTGGGTGGGAAGCGCAGCTTCTGGGAGTACACCCTGAGTCCATATGGGATGACAATGCCATAGACAGAAAAGTAACCTGCTGAGCCACCACACCAGCCCCTGAAATATCTCAAAATTACCCTGCTGTTCAGTTCAGTATTTCCAAATCAAGCGTAAACTAACACTACAGCTGATGATTAATGACATTTTGAAATCTAAATCCTTATGTTTCTTTGAAATTTTCTAAAAGAAAATGGTTTAGTTTGTGCTTTTAGAAAGGAACAAAAATAAAAAGGCAGCTGGAACTTTTTCTGGCATTAATGAAATAAAAAATTAAAATGTTTCATTTTTATATATGCAAAGTCAGAATCTTTTTGCACAAATTATTTATAAATTAATTTTAAAATCACATATTAAGTGTAAATCCTGTGAAAAGTTCCAGGGAAAACTATGCAAAATTTTGTTTTCAAAATCACAGAATGTGTAAGTTTGACGTGGATACAAAAGCAGTTCCAGGATACTTCAGAAAGTTCATGAAAAATGGAAATAAAACATGATTCAAAAAAAATTTGAAGCAACATTTTTAAAAAGTTTATTTTTAGCTGAGAGGCAGATTTACAGAAAGAGAAGAAGACAGAAAGAATATTCCAGCTGTTGATTCCATTCCATGAAAGGCTGTAATGGCTGGAGCTGAGCGTTTCTGACCCAGGAGCTTCCTCCATGTATCCTACATGGGTGTAGGGACCCCAGAACTTGAACCATCCTCCACTGCTTTCCCCAGCCATAGGCAGGGAGCTCAATGAGAAGTGGGCAGCTGGGACACAAACCTCCACCTCTGCTGGGATACTGGCACCGCAACAGGAGGATGAACTTGCTGAGCTTTGGTCCTCTAGAGCAAAACTGTCTTTTTTTTCTTTTCTTTTTAATTGGTTAAACCGCTGCTTATGCAATATCCATGTCCCCTATCGGAGCACCTGGGCTCCAGTTCTGAGTCTGATCTCAGTTTCAGCTTCGTGTTAACATGTATACTGAGAGGCAGAGGGTGAGGGGTCCAAGATGTTGGCTTCCTACTATTTGTGAAGAGAACTTGAGTTCCCAGTTTCCAGGTTTGGCTTGGCACAGATCTGGCTACTGCAGGTATTTGAGGAATGAACCAGTGGATGCCAAGATCTCTATGTACTGCTGGGATCCCATATGGGTGGTGGTTCGTGTCCTGGCCGCCCTGCCTCACATCAAGCTCCATGCTTGTGGTCTGAGAAAACAGTGGACAGTGGCCCAAAGCCCTGGATCCCTACACCCACAAGTGAGATCCGGAAGAGGCTCTGGGCTTCGGATCGGCTCAGCTCAGTTGTGCTCACTTGGGGAGTGAATCAGTAGAATCAGTTGATGCAAGATCTTCCTCTCTGTCTCTTTTTTCAATCCTCTCTGTTTCAGTGTGTATAATGAAATTTGGAATTTATTTTATTATTTTAGAAAATAGTAGATCTTTTCAAATAAAATTATTTTTTAAAGATTTATTTTATTTTTATTGGAAAGTCAGATATACAAAGAGGAGGAGAGACAGAGAAGATTTTCCATCCATTGATTCACCCCGCAAGAGGCCACAAGAGCTAGAGCTGAGCAAATCCAATGCCAGGAGCCTGGAACCTCTTCTGCGTCTCCCATGCGGACACAAGGTACCAAGGCTTTGGGTTGTTCTCGACTGCTTTCCCAAGCCACAAGCAGGAGACTGGATGGGAAGTGAGATCACTGGGATTAGAACCAGCACCCACATGGGATACCAGTGCTTGCAAGGTGAGGACCTGAGCCGCTAGGCTACCGTGCTGGGCCCTGGAACCAAGATTTTATTATATTCTCTCCATGTTCTGTTTTTGAAAATTTGACTATAATGTGTTGTAATGAGGATCCTTTCTGATATGTATATTTGGAATTATATGTACTTCCTGATTCAAACTCTGCTTTGTGGTATAAACCCTTAGACAGAGAACATCATACTTGGGAGGCTCTTGCTGCTTCACTTTCAGCTTCAGACTAACCCAACTCTGAGTGGCCACTTTGGAGTGTGAACCAGCAGACGGAATACCTCTCTCTGTGTTTCTCCCTCTCTCTGCATTTCTGACTTCCAAACAAAATCAATCAATTAATTAAAAACCCACAAGGATATACCTCTTCATATCACTGGTATGGCTCTTAAGCAGTGTTTAATTCATGTTGAAGATGTAAAGAATTTGGAATCCTCAAAAGTTGCTGGTGGGAATGTAAACAATGCAGCATTTGTGGAAAAAAAAATCTGGCATTCCATCAAGACTCAAGCAGGAAGTTACTGAATGGTCCAACAACAGTACCTTAATATACTCCAGAGAAATAAGAGGCTATGTCTACTCAAAGGCTTCACTTTTAAGTACAAATGAAACTTAAAAAATAATACAGTTGGACCCGTACTTTAAATCATTTACAAAGGTTGAGCCAAAGTGGATTAAATATCTAAATGTAGGCCTTAAAACTGTATAAACCCTAGAAGTAAGCATAGAGGACAGTGTTAATGACAGTGAACTTGACAATGACTTCATGACTATGACACCAAAATCATAGACATCAAAAACAGAAACAAAAGACAAATTGGACTATATCAAACTTTAAAGGTACTGTGCATCAAAAATTATAACAGAGAGAAAAGAAAACCTATGGAGTGGGAGAAAATATTTTTTAAATGTATAAATAATAAAGGTTGTTAAACATCAAAATATGTTGGAGTTGGTGTTGTGGTACAGTGCATTCGGCCACTGACTACAGTACTGCAATGGCATATCAGAGTGACTACAAGAGACATGGCTGATCTGATTCAAAATGAGTCTGCTATTTTTTTTTTTTAGTTTGCTATTAATGTGCCTGGAAAAGCAAATGAAAATGACAAAGCACTTGGAACCCTACCACCCACATGAGAGACCTGGATGAAGTCCCAAGCTCCTGGATTTGGCCTGGCCCAGTGCAGGTGACTGACCATTTAAGGATCACTAGATGAAATATATTTTTTCTGCCATTCCCTCTGTTTCTGTAATGATGGCTTTCAACTGAATAAAATCATTCCTTCAAAAAACATGTTATGGTTAAATGGACTAGAAGATAAGCTTATTTTAGTTCATGTATGTTTTCAATGCTATACAAAATTTGCCCATAATATGAATTTTCATGAACATTCTGATAACAAAATATATATACATACCACACAAACATTTGTGTGTGTGTGTATAAAAATCCCACTTCTGGTCTGCTTCAGAGTAAATGATTGAAAAACAGCAAGCAGGGTCCTGAGCAGGGAGGCGTTACTCCCGTGTCCGCAGCAGCATTATTCACATAAGCCACCCAAGTGTCCAGGCACAGAGGAAGAGATAAACAACTCACAGGTTATGACTTTAGCCATTATGCCATAATAACCCATTGAAATGATCTTTTTAAGCCTCAATTTAGCTCCAGATTCGTGGCAATGCATTAGGAAGTGGAATGAACATGATTTAAAACTTGGTGCTGTAGCTCAGATTCCAGAATATAGAACTCATTCTTCTATAGGCAGAGTGAGAAAACAAGCCTCCTTTTGCAAATGGAGAAATGTTTCCAACATTGACTCTAGCAAGGACTCTGTTGGAATGGTAATGGAGGCAGCCAGCTGCCGACTTTGGGTTTTTATCCCTCTCCATAAATTCTCCAGAAAATGGGGTCTTTATGCTCTTTGGGGTGACAGAATTTGACTACCAATGGCAACTGCGTTGCTACCCAATAGGGGATAGGAGAAGCATGTGTGGAATTTCTACAGCCCTTCTTAGTATACTGTCATGATTTGTGATTAGAGGTAAGGGAAAATTATAACAACCCAATTCATGAGGGACCCAGAAACTTGAGTAATGAAACTCTGAGTCATCCTTGAAGAGCAAGAACTTTGACAGGCTGAGATGCTGTCTCAGGTAAAGGATGGTTGAGCAGGCAGTGAGGGCAATCATAAAAGCAAGCTATGATTTGCAACATGACATGATGAGTTAATACCCTCCAGCGTAGGTGGAAAAAGAAACAATCAACAAGTCATATTTGAACAAAATGCTTAGGGTAAAAGCCCCACTTTTACTAACAAAAATTCATAACATTAAAAGTCAAGTAACATAGTCTAAGGGGCATAAGCAATATTCAACTTTTTTTTTTCCAACACACAGCAATATGGCATTTTTTCCCACTAACTGTTGTGGTAACAGGATTATTTGTCGAGAGAGTGATTATCTTTGTTGAGGCAGCATTCAGCAACGGTCTTTTCTAGTATATTCTCAAGGTGCTTAATCAAGTCTCGTCTTTTAAATCTGAAAACAAAGAGACATGTCATTAATCAAAAGATACCCAGATAACATAAGATAAAAGAGATACTGTAGAGAATAGAGTTAAGAGCTTACAATCTACGTGGAATGGAAAATCCATCTGCCTAAAATGAGCTACTTGAGCAAATACATAGAGCATCAATTGGGGAGCAATGGCCACCTCAGACTACAGGAAGAACAGAAGGCATCACAGGCTTGGAAAAATAAGTCAGACTCGCATTGGCAACCTAAATAATTGTGGAGACAGCCTTAACTAAGAATGGGAGCTAGTGTTTGAGAAACTCAAGGCAGAGGCTGTTCCCTAAGGCTCACACAATCCAGTACCACACAGCACAAGTGCCTGCAGAAATTGGACAGCTCCTCTTTTCTCCCCACCTTGTCGCTTCCTTGATGGTAAATTCAACAAACTGTTTCTTGACCTCGGGAGGTCCTTGCACTCCTTCAAGCAATTTGAAGATTTTTTCATATTCTGCAGATATTAAAAAAAAATCCTCAGTATTTCTCAAAAACAAAGAAGGAACAGAACTACATGCCTTATTATGCCTGATTGGCTAAAATGTTGTATAGGATGTGTCCTTTTAATGCTCAAATTAAGATACCCAAAACATTTCCTAGTGGAACTCATAAAGAATAACCAAGTAAAAAAGAGAAAAAGAAAAAAAAATAATGGGATGATTTCATCAGTTAAAATAGGAGTTAAATTATTGTTGAAAGAATGAGATTCAAAAGGTCACACGGATGGACTCTAAATCATAGAATAAAAGAACCCTCCCCCCACACACACACTTTTTGAGGGCACACATTCTTATACAACTTACTTCGTCCAAACTGTCGAACTTCCTTCATTAATTGCTGTTTTATATCAGCGTTAATTATGTCTGGATTTTTTGGCAAAGAGGACATTTCTTCAGCTTTTGCCTCATCTGTAGAGATGTTGCTGGTATTGATTCCTCGCACATGTGCCTTCCCACCAGGCTTGTGTATCGCCCCATCTTGGGTGGGACTGGTGAGGTCATCCAAAGGCAGTGGCTCGGGTAGCAAATAATCTTCTACCATACTCATCTTCTCTGATGGAGCAGATTTTGAAACAGAATGAGCAGGTGACTGAAGACTTTCCATCTTCTTATTGTGGACATCATGAACGACAGTAGAACCTGGAGACCAAATTGATAGGTTGTGCTATGAGGCAGGACATCAGATAAATCCCACAGGAGAGGGTCTTCAAAAAGTTCATGGAAAATGCATATTTAAAAAAAAAAAAAAAGCTTTGGGCCCTGGCGCGGTAGCCCAGCAGCTAAAGTCCCTGTCTTGTGCACACCAGGATCCCAGATGAATGCCAGTTCTAATCCCGCAGCCCCGCTTCCCATCCAACACCCTGCTTGTGACCTGAGAAAGCAGTCGAGAATGGTGCAAAACCTTGGGACCCTGCATCTGCATGGAGACCCGGAAGAAGCTCCTGGCTCCTGGCTTTGCATCAGCGCAGTTCCAGCCATTATGGCCTCTTGGGGAGTGAATCAACAGACAGAAGATCTTCCTCTCTGTCCCTCCTCCTCCCTGTATATCTGAATTTCCAATAAAAAAATTAAAATAAAAATTTAAAAAGCTTCGTATGGGTTTCAAGTTTTGCATCAAAGAGATGTTAAAATCCCATTTCCCCAAAACATTTTCCAGGTATCATTATATATCCATGTACTCTTCAGCTTTTAGAAAATTATTTACTTCATAGAACAGGAGGAGGAAATATCAGACCTGACGATTCGACCCATAACACACTGAAATCATTTCTTACGTTCTGGCTCCATGAACACATACGGAAACCAAGCAAGACAACAGACATAATAAACTGTCAGAAATTCACAGTACTCATGGTTGAATGGCACTATAATGTTTTGTACAAATTAAAATTATTAGTATCACATGATGTCATGATTTCTGAAATTTGCATATAAACTGTCATGTGTTACTGAGCTTGAAGCCAGAAAACCTGAGTCTACCTTAACCTCTCTGCCATAAGATTTCTCAGAAAACAGAACCAGTCGTTTTGGTTGAAAGTTCTACATGAACTCCATAACCGAAAATCCATGTTAGTATGAGACCTCTCTTCATCTTAGAAAATTTTGTTACTTCAAGTTGGATAGTTCTGTTTCTTTCATTCCTCCTGTGTGCTCTCCCTCCCGCCACACACACACACACACACACGCACACACGTCCTTCTAGGGATCAGCAGTGAAAAAGAGGGGTGTTCCTGGATGGGTGTTCCTGGATGGGTGTTCCTGCCTTCATGTAATTCCCATTCTGTTAGGGAGGTCAGACCAAGGCGGCACGCACGGAACCAACCAAATCAGCACCGCTGGAATTCAGTCAGAAGGAGCCAAGCATGTGAGAAGCGCCCCCTTGGCCAGTGGGTGCAGGAAGGGGCCTGGCGGGCATACATTGTGAGCAGAGCGTGGAAAAGCAGACACACTGGCATATTCAGGTGCAGAGGGAGAGAGAGTTAGAAGCAGTAGTGAGAGCAAGGGCAGGGGTTATGTTGGGGGAACAGTGGGGAGCCAGAGTGAAGCGCAGAGGTATGCAAAGCCATGAGGAACCCCACAGGACTTGTAGGAAGACCTACATAGCCTGTAAACCAGTAAGGAAAGGAACTCAGGTTCTATTCTGAGTAACATGAGATGCTGAGGCAGGAGTTTCAGGATGCACATAGCGTGACCTCATTTACATACCCTGTTACCACTGTAACTCAGCCCTCATACTGAGCACCTTTAATGCGCCCCCCCCCCATCAAGTCTTAGCTTCTCTCCCAAATGCTTGTATAGCTCTCTCTTGCCCTACTTTGATGTTATACAAATCAGCCTCTTGCTAAAGGTTAATGTGTTGAATCTGCAAATTAAGGGAGCGGTACATGGGTCAAGATGACACCACAGAGCCTAACTCCGTAAGACTCCCAGTTTGTGCCTACATTCATAAATAGCAGCTTAGCGTTAGGCCTTATCTTGACATGTTTTGCAGGAACCACAGGCCCTGATGAAAAGGGAACAACCACCACCTGTACGGAAGTCAGACTGACCACAGCTGTACTCTATCATCAGTAGAATTCTCAGAAGGACATGCTGGTCATCTTGCCGCTGACCATTCGACGGAGGATGATGAACACTACAGACGAGCCAGGGCCACGTGCGCAAGCTGATCCCACATTGTTCAATCGCAACTTCAGTCTCTAAGACTGCTTGTCCTTAATCCTTGAGAGATTTTAGAAACAGCCATTATCTGCCCTTACTCCTTGCTCTACACAGTGTGACTGCTTTGCAGTTACGACAGGGAAGCAGACCAAATGCAGTTCAGCAAAACGATCACTCTGCACAGTCAGAGAGCAGGGGTGAGACCTACGATAGGAGGGGAAACATGGAGATCAGAAAAGCTACTGCAGTAGCCTGCCAAGAACCATTAACAGTGTGGACTTGTGGATTAAGAGAGAAATCATGGGCTCCGAGGGGAGAATGAAAAAGAAGATCAGGAAAAAAAAATAAAAGGAGTTTCAGAAAGGAGAAAAATTCTAGCACGTTGTGAATACGGGGCTCCAAAAAAGGTTACATGGACAAGGGCATAAATAATTGTGTTAAGTGCTATTGAGAAATTAATGACAAGTGTGTAGAAATTTGGCTTCGTGGTTAAGATACTGGTTAAGATGCCTGTAGCTCGTACTGAAGTTCCTAGGTTTGGTTGTCAGCTTCAGTTCCTGAATTCATCTCGCTGCTTCTATGCACACACCAAGAGGCAGTGGTAAGAGCTGAAGTAACACTTACTGCCACCCATGCGTGAGGCCTGGGTTGAGTTCTCAGTTTCCAGCTTTAGCCCTGGCCAAGGATTTCTCTGGAGGCTCGCCTGGGTATTTGGGGAGTGAATCAGTCAAGGGGCTTTCTCTCTCTTTCATAACTAAATAACTTGGAAAATCAATTAGTGGTGATGTCTGCTAACACTATTAACTTGATAAGAACAGTTGTGGTGGAGCAGAGGTAGCAGTAAACAGATCACACTGGATTATACACAGGTGAGGACAGACCTACTTACCCACTGCCTTGAACATGAAAGAGTTCACAGAGAGGGATTGTTTCTCTTCTTCCTGTTTGCTTAATGGCAGGGATGCACTGGGCTTTCTCTTAGATACTTTTGGACTCTGATTTTCCCTAGGACGTTTCAAGGTACTTTCAAGTTGGACAGTAAGTTCATCTCCTTTGCCAGCCATCATTTTCTGAAAACATATCCATTAATGTCCAGAATCTAATTATTGCAAAATTTCAGACTTCACAAATAAATATGCATCATATATTTGTATCATTATTGAGCTTTTTAAAATTTGCTTATTTATTTGAAAGGAAGAGTTACTAAGAGGCAGAAAAAGAGACATCTTCCGTTTGCTGGTTCACTCTCCAAATGGCTGAAATAGGCAGAAATGGGCCAGGATAAAGCCAGGAGCCTGGGACTCCATCTGGGTTTCCTGCAAAGGTGGTCCAGGATCAAGCACTTGGACCATCTTCTGCTGCTTTCTCAGGCACATTACCAGGAAGCTACACTGGAAGCAAAGCACCCCAAACTAACTGGCATTCATATGGGATGTTGGTGTTGCAGGTGGTAGCTGTACCTACTTACTACCTACCATGCCACAATGCTGATCCCTACTATGAGTTTTTAAACACGAGCTACAGTTTACCATACCAAACACACATTCATTTCTCAGAAGAGGCAAACTAATTTTACTCTTACTCTGGGTGAAAAAGGAGGAAGTTAACACACAAGTTACTGTTAAAGTCAAAGATGGTGTATTAAGGATTAGTCAGAATGCCTGGGGAATGAGCAATTCTTAATCAGAAGTGCATGGAAATATGAGCACATTTTTGAAGAAGTATAAACTAATCTGCATCAATGCCTTTTAGAAGTAATTCCTTTGCTTTTGCATCATTTAGGGACGCTGATATAATATATTAACATGTACATTAGAAGAACAGAAAACTACAGCCAAAATTTCTGTGAAACTTACACAAAAATCTTAAACAACTGAGTGGATATTCTGCATAGTGGTTAAGAAATTGCTTGGGATGGGGTGGCCATCATGACACAGCAGGTTAAACTGCCACTTGTGGTGATGGCATCCCTTTAAGCGCTGGTTTGAGTCCTATTTCACTTCTGATCCAACTTCTTTCTAACGCACCTGGGAAAACAGCACATGATGCACCTGTGTGGGGGACCCAGATGGAGCTCTGTGCTTCTGGCTTCTGCGTGGTCATTCCTAGCCACTGCAGCTATTTGGGGGGTGAACTAAGAGACAAGAGATCTCTGTCTCTCTCCCCTCTCTCTGGGGCTCTGCATTTAAAAAAAAATTTAAAGAAGCCAATTGAGATGCCTATGCCCCATATCATAATACCTTGATTTGAATCCTGGCTCTACTTCTGCTCCAGCTTCCTGCTGATGCACACCCTGGGAGGCAGCAGGGGATGGCTCAGATGCCTGGCTCCCTGCCACCCCAGTGCGAGTCCTGGCTTTTGCCTGGCATCTGGGGAGTGAATCAGCAGACAGGCTGTCTCTCTCTTTGTTTCTCTCTCTTTTTCTGATTCTATCTTTCAAATAACAAATACACAATAATTTTAAGCACAAGACCAGCAAATAAAACACAACAGTACATGAAAAGATATGTGTCAATCACAGAGGAGTACCCTGAAGGAAGCAAAGATTATTTTGAAAATAAATCAATGTAATAAAATATACTGCAACAGCACCAATGTTTTTATAGATGGATTCATGTTTAAAATCTATGCATGACAAAAAATATCAGCAATTTAGAATAGACATATTCTTGGGGCTGGTGCAGTGGCCTAAGAGGCTGATCCTCTGCCTGAAGCACAGGCATCTCATAGTTCAAATACAAAAGGAAGAAAGAAGTGAAGCTCATTATCTGAAGATGACACTGTCTTGTATTTGCAATAGGCAAAAGGGAAAAAAAATCATTAGAGTCAACAAACAAATTTAGTCAATTACTGAATGGAAGAAAAAAATCACTGTGGCAAGTGTCTGACACAGAGGTTAAGGCACTCCCACATTCCATGCTAGAGTGCCAGTTTGAGACCTAGCTTCTCTGCTAAAGTGCACCCTGGGAGATAGCAGACAACGACTTGGGCACTGGGGGTCCTTCCCGCCCCCACAGAGCTCTGGATGCAGTTCCTTGCTCCTGGCTTCAGCCAGACAGTCCTGGCTTGTGTGGGCATTTGGCAAGTGGAACAATGGCTAAAAGACATCTTTCGGAATCTCTGCATTTCAAATACAAAATGAAAGTATGTAAATGATTTTAAGACACTTGTACTTCAGTATACTGTCAACAAATAACTAGAAAATGAAACTTAAAATGTCACTGAGGGGCTGGAACAGTTTTCTTAGTAGGTAAGATCTCCTCCTGAGGTGCCAGCATCCCATATGGGTGCAGATTTGAGTATTGGCTGCTCCACTACTGAGCCAGGTCCATTTCTGAGCCAGGTCCATGCTCATGGCCTTGGAGGGTAGTGGAAGGATGGCTGAAGGTCCGGGGCTCCTACACCCACATGACAGGCCCAGCTCTGGCTCCTGGCTCTCAGTTTCAGAAGGGCTCAGCTCTGGCCATGGTGGCTGTTTGGGGAGTGAAGCAGCGCATCTCTCTGTAGTTCTGACTTTCAAGCAAAATAAATCTTTCTAAAAATATCGCTGAAAATGGTATCCAGGTAGTGGGTATTTGGCGTGGCAGTTGAGACACCAATTGGTTTTATTGTCTTCTATTACTTTTTTGCAAAAGCAAAAATTGACAGTGGGGATTACATCAAGTTAATAAGCTTCTGCACAACAAAGGAAACAATGTGAAGAGGCAGTTGACAGAGAGTGAGAAAATAGTTGTAAATTATACATGCAATAAAGGATTAATTTCAAGAATATATAAAGAGTTTAAGACAACAACAACAACAAAACAATTTTCCAAAGGGTAAAATAAAAATAGTCAAAGACACATGAAAACAAATGCTCAGGATCACTAGCAATCACGAAAATACAAACAAAAATCACAAAGTATGACCTCATTCTGTTAGAAGGCTATTATTGAAAAAATAGAAGAAAAATAATGACTTTTGGCAAGGTTGTGGAGAAAAAATTACCCTAATAAGCTGTTGGTGGAAATGTAAATAATACATGAAGTAGGGCAAACAATATAGAGATTCTTACAGAAGCTTAAAATAGGTCTTCCAAATGCCCCACTATCCACTATTCATTTCAAAAGAAATGAAATTCTCATATGGAAGAATTATATTACTCATGTTTGTAGCAGCTCAACTCACAATAGCTAAGATGTGAAATCCATCAACTGATGATTAGATAAAGAGAATGTGATGGCAGAATATTACTCAGACAGCCATAAAACAGAACGGAATTTTGACATTTGCAACAAAAGAGATACAACTGGTGATTATTACTGTTAAGTGAATTAAGCCAGCTCCCCCACTCCCAAAAAAAAAGACATCTTTTTATCTTATTTGTGGTATCTAATAAATAGAGAAAAAAACTCTATGATACATAGTTGTAAATTTGCTATACAGTTGTAAATTTGCTATACAGTTATAAATTTTGTTTTACTGAATCATACCATGTGAGTGATAATATACTCCTTTTTCCTATGTAAAAACATGGAGGAGGGGAATAGGGAGGACTTTAGTTTTTCTGTTGAGTTCCTTGAACTCCTGACATATTTTGGAAATTAATCCTTCATTAGACGTGTGGTTTGCAAATATTTTTTCACATTCTGTCAAGCGCATTATTTTGTTCTTACTTTGGGTCAGTTGTGAGTGTGTTCAGAGGACCAAAAAATTAGTTTAAACATATACATATGTGAATTTCTTGATATGCACACTGTATTTCAATATTTTTTAAAAAGCACTGCTTGGAACCTCTCCTCTGTTCCTAATTACAGCTTCTCATAAACGTACACCCTGGGAAACAGCAGATGGCAGATCAAACATTTGTGTCCCTTTTATCCATCTGGGAGTTTCTGATTGAGTTAACAGGTTCTTAGCTTTTGCCTGACTCACCTCCACTTGTTATGGCCATTTGGGGAAGTGAAGCAGCAGACAGGAGCCCTTCCTTCCTTCCTTCCTTCCTTCCTTCCTTCTTTCCTTCTTTCCTTCCTCCCTCCCTCTCTTGATAGAAATTTTGAAATCACTTTTCTTAAACAAAATAAATAATACCCAGACATCAAGTGTCTCAGAAAAAAACTAATGAAAGATATTCAAGAGCATACAAAAATTTTGAGACATCAGAGAGAAATTGAAGTTTTCATTAATAAGAAGGAATTTTTACTCCACTTGACTGGAAAACTGGTTATTAAAATTCATTATTGTTATTTTTTTCCAAAAATGATTACAGTAATCTTATTTAAAGTGCCACCGTATTAAAAGAAAATGGGTAAGATGATAAGTATATAGGAAATAGAAGATTTAGACAAGCAAAGACAATCATGAAGTAAAAGAACGAGATGGAAAGACACATTCGAAAATGCAAAATCCATTAAAAGGGCAGAATAAATTTAAACACTGCTGCAGTAAGAGAAATTACAGGCAAATCCATCAGGAGAAAAAGAGCACAGAAACAAACCTGGAAATAGTAAATAGCTACATGTATTTCAGAAGGCTCCTGAAACTCACTGTGGGAAGGAGAGTTCTTTTAAAAGTCTACTTGGTTACTACAAGGAAAATATAAACTTCATTGGGGGTCCACATTTCTGCACAGTGGTTTAAGACACCACTTGCAATGCTGTCATCACATGTCCTAGTACACCCATTGGAGTCCCAGGTACTCCATTTCCAATTCAGTTTCCTGAAAATGAATCTGGAGAGACAGTGAAAGATGGCCCACATTTTTGAGTCTTTGCCACTGATATGGGAGACCTAGACTGAGTTTAGCCTTCTGACTGACAGAAGCCTGTCTGTTGTGGCCATTTTCAGAGTGAGCCAACACATAGAAGTGTGCTCTCTCTCTCTCTCTCTGCATTTCAAATTAACCAACCTTTAAAAAAATATATAAACCTCTTTGTATTCTGTAAAACTATGCTCGAATGTATGAAACATATGGTAAAAAAAAAATAAGTAAGTATGTAAGTAAATCATGGGCTGGTGCGGTGGTATAGCAAGCTAATCCTCAGCCTGATTGTACTGGCATTCCACACAGGCACCAGTTCTTGCCCCAGCTGCTATCCAGCTCTCTGCTTGTGGCCTGGGCAGGAAGTGGAGGATGCCTCAAGTCCTTGGGACCCTGCACCTGTGTGGTAGACCCAGAAGAAGCTTCTGGCTTCTCATTGGCTCAGCTCCGACCATTGTGGTCACTTAGGAAGTGAACCAGTAGACAGATCTTTCTGTCTCTCCTTCTTTCTGTAAAGCTGCCTTTCCAGTGGAAATACATAAATTTTTAAAAATAAATAAATAAATAAGAATAAAATCAGGGGCTGGCACCGTGGGTAGTAGCCTAAGCTCTGCCTGCGGTACCAGCATCCCATTTGGTGTCAGTATTGTTCTGGCTGCTCCACTTCCAATCCAGCTTCCTGCTTGTAGCCTGGGAAAGCAGCAGAGGATCGCACAAGTGCTTGGGTCCCTGTGCCCATATGGAAGATCTGGAAGAAGCTCCTTGTTCCCAGAATCAGATCAGTTAAGCGCTGGCTATTACAGCCATTTGTGGAGTGGACCAGCAGATGAACAATCTCACCCTTTCTCTGTCTCTTCTCTCACTGTAAATCTTTCTTTGAAACAAAAATAAACATATTTCTAAAAGAACAAGCCATGATATTACATTCATGAATCTAAGGCAAGCAATCTTTTTTTTTTTTTAGAAATGCTATATTTTTGTGGTTTTTAAGATTATATATTTTTTTATTTAAAAGGCAGAGTTGCACACAGAAGGTGAGACACAGGAGAGAGACAGAGAGAGAGAGTGAAAGAGATGTTTATCTGCTGGTTCACTCCTCAAACAGTTGTACTGGCAGTAGCTAGGCCTACCTGAAGCCAGAAGCCAGGAGTTTTCTCCAGGTCTCCCACATGGGCACAGAGGCCCAAGGACTTGAGCCATCCTCCACTGCTTTCTCAGGCTATAAGCAGGGAGTTGGATTATAAGTGGAGCAGCTGGGGCAAGAACCAGTGCCCATATAGGATGCTGGTACTGCAGTCGGAGGTTTAGCTTACTATGCCATGGTGCCGATCCTTTAAAGATTAATTTTATTTTTATTAGAAAGATAAGAGTTAAACAGGGAGAAAGAGACATAGTGAGAGAAGGTCTTCCATTTACTGGTTCACCCCCCAAATAGCTGCAATGGTCAGAGCTGAGCCAATCCAAAGCCAAGAGCTTCTTCTGTGTCTCCCATATGCGTGCAGGGTCCCAAGGCTTTGGGCCTTGCTCCATTACTTTCCCAGGCCACAAGCATGGAGCTGGATGGGAAGTGGAGCAGCTGAGACACGAACCAGTGCCCATATGGGACTGCCAGCACCGCAGGCAGAAGCTCAGGCTACAATGCATGGCATAAGCCCTGGCAAAAATTATCTTAATGAGTAAAAACTATTAACCAGAAAGAACAGACTGTTTAATTAGCCATTATGAATACCGTGCATTATTTAAAATACCGTGCCTTTATTTAAAAAAGGCAATATTTGGAGAGGAAAATAAGTATATTTGTAGAAAATACTCAAATTTGTATATGCATGCATGTGCTTTTCATCATTTTAAGAGATCTGTTTATTATTTCCAAGGTAAAGTGGCAGAGAGAGAGGGAGGGACTAAGAGAAATCTCTCCTGTGCTGCTGCACTGTGACAAGGGCGGTGATGGCCAGAGTCGGCCAGGCTGACCTTGCAAGCCTGGATGCCAGGCTCACCTGGGTGCCAGGGGCATTAACAAAGTGCACCTCAGAAACCAAGCAATCAGCACTCAGACTGAAGCTGGCATCACAAATGGCTACTTAACACCCTATGGTACAATGCCAGCCCCTCAGGTGTCCTCTAAGAAGGAATGCAACGCAGAACAGATATACAGAATCTACCATACATAATTGTTTATTAGATACACTATGTAGTGCTATACATAATAGTATAAAATCTTATATTTAACATAATTATATATTATCTGTTATAATAACAATATAATACATGATATGATATGTAATTATAACATAATTAACAGCATACATAACATACATATAATTATATAACATATATAACATTATATATAACATATATAACATATAGTATTAAATCATAGATAATATATTAGTATACTATATAATATGCTATGTATATTAGTATACTATATAATATGCTATGTATATATATGTATATATAACATTTATGTTATAATGCACTCTATAATATGCATATATTCTTGAACTGTCTGATATACAAATAACACATAATACGTAACATACACAATAATATTAACATCCCACTACAATTTTAGGGAAAGGTCTTAATTGCGTATCACAAAAACATACCAAAATAGTTGAGAAGCAAAGAAGCGATCCACCTCAATCAGCAGAGAAATCCAGCTACAAACAAAAGTCATAACCCATTAGAGTGGCTGAAATGAATCAGTACGTGGTGGCTCAGTATGCCTGTATGCGTGTGGTAGACACGTTTATACAGACACTCAAGTGCATCTTGGGAACACAAAATGGTGCCCCAAGGTGGGGCTCTGTCAGCGCTAAGATTCAAAAGCGTCTGACCGCGTCCCACCCCAGCGGGCGAGACAGAATGTTCCAGTAGCAGTACTCACCAAGGTGCTGGTATCTAAGATGGATGGCCTAATCGTTCATCCCCACCTAGTACCCAGGAAGCTCAGCCAGGAAAGGAACCCTCTACCACATTTGACGTTGTAACGTGGGCTGCCGCACACTTCAGGGACAGCAGCATACATAGGGCAAGCCTCAGGTCTGAGAGACAGCCTCGGAAGTAAACTTGCTGCGCCGCTGGCTGGCGGCAAGCCCACAGAGTACCACCCGAGACTTAGGGCCTCCAAGGTCCAGGCCTCCCACCCCACTCCCACCCAGAACTGAGGATGGACAACTACTCCTTAGGACTGAGACAGAAAGTGCCTACGGACAGTCCTCGGTAAGGACAGGCAAAAAGAAAGAAAAACCGCCATATCGCGGCCAGGGCCCAGTCTCTCACCTGCTGCGTTCCAGATCCCGCGGAGAGTCCACAGGGCTGAGATGGTTCATCCAAGGGAAAGCCACGCCCTACGTCAAAGCACCCTCTCCCTCCGCCCCAAAGAAAAGAGTTCCCAAGAAAATGGAAAACCTCCGGCAGGAGTCCCCCCAGAGGCCTGAGGTAGATCAGTAGAACATTCCAGAAAGTCCCACTCAGCACAGCTACCCCAAGATAGCTCAAGAAAAGTCTCCGGCACTCAGCCAAAGATAGTGCTCCACCAATAGGGAACACAGACAATAAGGGAAGGGATGCCTTCCAGGGCTAAATGAGAGACTAAAAACAGGCTTTTCCTTCTCAAGGTGCTGAAATCTCGACCTAGCCAGGAATGGTAATATTGTAGTGCCGCGACTGGGAGACTTTCTAGAAAATTGCTCTCCCGCTGTGGCTTGTGGCAGATGCGACTCCTAGGGATTGATTTCGGGAGTACTGAACACCACCTGGTGGTTCACCAGAGAAACAGATTGCTGCCAGAAGTATGGGGGAGCAGAGTGCTGTTGGTCACGCTTCCCTGCCCAGGCTGGCCACTGCAATAGCTCGGTGCGGCGCCAGAATGCGGTGTTGCCAATCCTGGTACCCTCCAGGAGAACCCTGCCAGTCCATGAGATCCAGAAAACCGAACTTCCCTTTCCACTTTGTCTGGCACCCCTACAGACCATCTTCTGTGTCACTTCCTAGATGGAAAACTTTTAAAGGGACCAGACTCTTTTTTGCCCAGCAGGACAAAACAACAAATTCATACCTGACAAGCAAGAAGCAGCTAACATACTGTATTAAGAGAGAGAGAAAGATAATTATATGATCATCCTAATGGATGCAAAACCACGCAGGAAAAATATAAAGCAATTTTAAGAAGTGTCTGTATCAGATTGCTACAGCATGTGACATTCCTACGTGAAAATCGGAAGTATTCCTTGAGCTATCAAAACTACCCCAGGTTGCCCGTGGTCTTCACATCAGACAGCCCTGCCCTCTGGGAATTGCTAGCTTCCCCTAGAGGCAGAGCTGGGCAGTACACCCAGATCAAGCTCTGAGACTGTAGCTCAGGACACATTTGTGCTTCACAGGGAGTGGCTGGGCATATCAAACAGTGACTGATGCCTGAGAACAGACTCGTGGGGAACTCCAAGTTGTCCCCTCCAGTGGCTGACAGTCTGCTGGCATTCAGAGCTACCATAGCTGGCAGGTCGGTGGTTCCAAGATCACAGAGAGGTGAGGAGGGGTGTCATGGACTGGGCTGGGCTGGAGAGAGGGCAAGGGAGAACTCCCAAGCTTGCCAGTCTCACTTTACTGTATTGATTATCTCACTTCCATCTCCAAGCCAGGTCTAAGTTACTGCTTCTTGAGTCAGCTGTTTGTGGTGGACTCCTCATTAGGATCTGGGCACAGAGTGCGTGTATTAGATTGATGGCCACAAAGCAAATGACTCCAAATTGAATGGCTTAAAACACCATCCGTTTCTCATTTATTAACGTGCAGTTCTGCAGCTCAAATTCTGAGTGATTGGTTCTCTACTTCGGGCCATAAAAGGTTCAAGTCAAAATTTGGGACAATCTGTCATATGTTATAGAAATGTGAGGTGAAATGCACTTCCAAATTCATTAAGATTCTTGGCTGAATCTGCTTCTTTTTCACATGCAACTTAAGTCCCTGGAGTTCATTGTCAACTGACAGAAGTTGGCATTTGGTATTTTCATGTGGCTGCCTCTTGTTTCTTAGTCAGCAACTGACAAATTCTTTTCATGCTTCATTAATATTTCATCTTCTTGTGCTTCTTGTGGCCACACTTTTCTTTTTTAGGATTTATGTTTTTACTCTTTTTAAAAATTATTATTTTAGATGATGTTTACATAGTTGATCAGAGTGGGAAGAAACCCAGGGTTGGGGGAAGATGGGGTGATCATTGTTTCCAAACTTTCTATCTCTTCTTCCCATTTTGTGGGGGAGGGGAGAGATAAAGGAGAAGCCATACCCAGCCTCCCTACCATCCCAGTACCCGAGAATGGGGAATGGCCACCTGATATCAATCCAGGGCCCCAATGTGGCACATGTTTTGCCTAGATGGATGCAATACTTCTGAAATGCTGTCAATCTGGCCGATCTATGGATGAAGAATTCCTTCCAATGACAATCGGCTGACACTGTCGACCTTCTCTCAGATATTTGCTGTCATCATTTGGCTGGGGTAGTTGTCTATATGTTTTGTTCTCCTTTCTCTGCTATGGTACTGGATACCCTCTGCAGGCCCCAATGTGCTAACATATCCTCTATGTGCACTATGGTCTGCCGTCCAGCACTCCATCCTTTACACTAAGGAGGACCAGTTCTCCTAAATGGGCCCATGGACCCAGGCTAGGTGACCCGGGTCTGGCTGGATTCCCCATTCCTAGGGCTCATAGACTCGGCACCCACAAGGCATGCAGGTGGGCCCAAGAACCCAAGCCAGCTAATCCAAACCCCACCAGACTCCCACTCCTGAGGCTCACAGATTCAGCACCGACTGCATAGGCAGGCCCAAGGATCAGAGCCAGGCAATCCAGGCCCCACTGGAACCCCCAACCATGGGGCTCACAGACCAGACACCCATCATGAAGGTGGGCCCTAGGACCTGGGCCAGGAGACCCAGTCCTTACCAGATCCCCCACCCCTGAGGCTCACGAATCCAGCACCCACTGCGCAGGCAAGCCCAAGAACCTGGGCCAGGCAATCCAGGCCCTGCTGGAGTCCCTGCCCCTGGAGTTAATGAACCTGGCACCCACAGAACAGGCAGGCTCAGGGACCCAGATCAGATTACCCAGACCCTTTGGAACCCCCACCTATGGAGCTCACTGTAGCAGCACCCATGTCGCAGCCAGGCTTAAGGGCCAAGGTCAGCTGACCAGGGCCCCACCAGAGCTCTCTGTCCCCAGGGCTCACGGACCCGGCATGCACCACCCCCAGACTGGCATGTATCTCACCTCAGCATCCACCAGCTGGTGCTTCCGCTTGTTTCAATCCAACCTGCCCCCAGTTCCAGCTTATGCTGGTTGGTGCTGCTGCTTAGCCCAAACCAGTGAGTCCCTGGTCCCAGCTCTAGTGCAACCTGGCTGATTTTGTGGCCTGACCTAGACTGTCCTGTACCCCATCTTGGTTCTTAGATATACCAGTCAATGTAATGAATTGGCCCATCCTGGCTCACCCTCAGTCCTGACTCACATGTATGCCCGTGGTACTACAACGTGCCCTGGTTTGGGCTGCTCCTTGCTTTGGTTCTTGCACCCACCTACAGGGACTGCAACCTGACAAAGGCGTTCCCCAAGCTCCTCTATCTGGCCTCCTTGCAGTGGCAGATCTTGCTAACACTGGTGGCTCCTTGGCCCAGGTTGACTTTGTCCACCTCTTGTCCTGGTAGGACTGGTGTCCCTGCCCAATCAGCCCACACCCTTTCCGGTTCTTACTGTTGGGTGTTGCAACCCAGCCATACCTGGTCCATGCCCAGACACAGCTCTCATGCGGTTCATTGGGAACCGAGACCAAGCCCAGCTTGTTCTATACCCACCCTGACTCTCATGAATACCATTGGTCTGGAGTCTAGCCCAGCCTGGCACATCCCTAGACTCAGTCCACACCCACGCTGAGGGATAGCCTACAGCCGTGTCTAGCTGTGTCCACTATACCCATTCCAGCTTTCATGTTCACCAGTGGGAGTTCCGTCTCAGATTAGGGCGTCCCCTTAGTTCCCCAGCCAGGCCTGTTGCCAGCCAGATATTGCATGTGCCAACAGAGATTGCTGTCCCTCCTGAGTGAGCCCACATAATCCCCTGCAGATTCTAGCCCCCAGAACCAATTAACTCATGTTTGTCGACTTCATGGCCTAGCCTCACAGAACCCATGCCCTGTTCTGATGCTTGCTGGATTCCATGATCTAGCCCTTTTTGTATAGTGGCCTTCCATATGCAAGTCCCTCCGAAGTCATTCTTTACTTAGACATGAACACTAAAGTCCCTGCTCGCCCCCACCTGTGCCATCCCCCAGACTCCCTGTAACCCCACAGCCCCAAGTCCCCAGAGCACATTGCCAGGTGGCCCAAGGACATAGTGATAGGTGGAGCCAAAATCCTGAGCCCGAAGTCCACACCCACTCAAGATCTGCCCACAGCATGGCAGCCATGCATGGAGAAAAATTCCGATGCCTTAGACCAGACCAGCTCAAGATCTGCCTACTGCATGGTGCCAGGGAACAGAGCTAAAATCCCAAGCTTCAAGACTAGCCCCACCTGAGTTCCCCTGGCCAGTCATGCATCTGGGGAGCAAAAATCTCTAACCTCCAGCCCGGACCTGACTGAGATCCGCCCACATATTTATTTTTATTTGAAAAACAGATTTTACAAAGAGAGGAGAGACAAGGAGGTCTTCCATCTCCTGGCTCATCCCCCAAATGGCTGCAGTAGTCGGAGCTGAGCCAATTTGAAGCCAGAAGCCAGAGGCTTCCTCTGGCTCTCGCACAATCCCAAGGTGCAGATGCAGGATCCCAAGGACTTGAACCATCCTCTGGTGCTTTTCCAGGCCATAGGCAAGGAGCTGAATGGGAAGTATAGCAGTTGAAAACAAACTGGCGTCCATATGGAATACCTGCGCTACAGGCAGAGGGTTAGCTTGCTGTGGCTCTGCGTTCGCCCCACTTTTTAAAACATTATTTTTCAATAAAATTAATTAATTAACCTTTAAAAAGTAAAGACATTGCCTACATTTGAATGAGAAACCCACGTTGCATGGATACATGACCTGTCACTCATTCTAGTATTCAGTCTAAATTTGGTTAAATGTTTCTCAGGTTGAGAATCGTGTCTCTAGAAAATAGTTCCACTTCCAATCTGGGGTCCCATGATCATTAAGAAACATGATTACTTTCTTTTCTCAGTACACAGTACTCCAGTAAAGTGCTGTATAAGAACAGAGAGGGAAAAGTACCAATGAAAAATGTCAGCGAAGAAGTGTCTTTGTTCAGGATTCCTTCCCTCCAAACATAAGAGCTTGTATTCTTTAAGCCAAATCTGAAATGTGTTGATTTAGGGGTCCCTAATGCTTTTTGGGAGTAAGGTACCTGTGTCGGAAAATCAGAAGATCCTGTAGGGCCCTCCTCAACGCTACAGCATCCTTCCAATGATCAAAGTCATTGAAAGCTGTGAAAATCTAATTTGTTCAACACTGTCAGTGGCCATGAACACTAGGAATGAGGGTTTGGGTCATACCAACAGGACAAGGACCTTAACCATGAAGCTTCTTCTTGAGAGTAATAGGGATACACAGTGTAAGAGAGATCTTAGTCATATGCAACAAGAGGCATTTCTAAAAACTACTACATCCTTTGTTTACATGTGTACAAACCTACAAGCTATCTTTTTGCTTGAGTCCCCTTCATCTCCTTAGCTACAAAAATAAAATGTATTACAATGCGTTAAACTCTATTTCTAAACCATTTAAGAAAAAGTCTGTCAAAGGTGATTGATTGTGTTTCAAACAGCAAAACAAGGAACAACCCCTGATGATGACCACTGGAATTTGCATCCCTTTTAGGAAAAAGTTTACAAAGTTGCTGACAACCAGGAAAACTTGTCTCATGTTAAGCAGAAATACGATGTTGTCATTGTCTTTAAAAGATTTCATACAGTTGAGGGAGATGGGCATGGGTAATACATGACAAGAGGTACTCCTTGTCACATGTTCCCTCAGCTGGTGAATTCATCCCTATTTGCTTTTGGGAGATTCTTTGAAGACTGCAAAATGTGGTGTAAAAGAAATGGTAGCCATTTTGTTATTCATATTCATTGTTCCTGAATTCCTGACTGACCTTTTGGTATGATCCAGCATCTGGACCTGCAGTTCTTCCAAGAAATACTGGAAACAATGAGGGAGAGCCTGTCAAAATCAAGTTCACTGCAATGCTGGAATAAAATTAATAGTTCACAATAGCCAAGTAGATGCTGAATCAGGAGAAAATCTGTTGAAACACAGTAGGTGAGCTTTGTGGAATTTTCCTTTGCCCAATCTGCCTTTTTAATAAAACGGCTATGATTTTGAAGATAGCAGCCTGTATTTCAACTATGAGAGCCTGTCTCTGGGGGAAGGAGAGTGAATCTTATCCATAAGGCATTATGTCTGTTTGAACTTGTCTAGGGGATTTCCAGGACACATACAAAGAATCAATTTCCTTTCTTTCAGCAAGGCAACATAGGCTAAGGGGATCCCTTAAAAGAGAGAAGTTGGCATAAAGAACATTTAAGGAAATATTGACTTCAAACTCTCAAATTTGGGCCTGGTGAAATAAGCGTAGCGGCTAAAATCCTTGCCTTGCATGCCAGAATCCCATATGGGCACCAGTTCTAATCCTGACAACCCCGCTTCCCATCCAGCTCCCTGATTGTGGTCTGGGAAAGCAGGTGAGGACGGCCCAAAGCCTTGGGACCCTGTACCCGCATGGGAGACCTGGAAGAGCTCCTGGCTTTGGACCAGCTCAGCTCCAGCCATTGTGGCCACTTGGGGAGAGAATCAGCAGATGGAAGATCTTTCTCTCTGTCTCTCCTCCTCTCTGTATATCTGACTTTGTAATAAAAATGAAATAAATCTTTTTTAAAAATACACAAAAGCAGATGGGGATGAATTCATCCACCTGAGGGAACACGTTATAAGGAGTACCTCTTGTCGTGTATTACCCATGCCCATCTCCCTCAACTGTGTGAAATCTCTAAAGACAATGACAACATCGTATTTCTGCTTAACATGAGACAAGTTTTCCTGGTTGTCAGCAACTTTGTAAACTTTTTCCTAAAAGGGATGCAAATTCCAGTGGTCATCATCAGGGGTTGTTCCTTGTTTTGCTGTTTGAAACACAGTCACCTTTAACAGACTTTCTTAATACATCTCCATTCTGTAAGTGGTGTTTTGAAGTTTAAGTAACATCTGTATCTGTTTCATTGTGAGACAGCTTCCTACAAAGAAACAACATCATAAGGAGTATACTACTGGTCATTTATCTCAACAATAATGAGGTTGTGTAAACCAATAAAATGATTTATTTCATATATACAAAGTTGACATCTCTTTGCACAGTTGAATTTTGTAAATCAGTACAAACATAACAATACTGCTCTATATAAACTTTTGTATAAACATGAAAGGAAATATACACATTATTGTTCTATTGCTTCCAAAGCACAGAATGCACAGGTCCACCTGAAAACTTTCTGTTGTCACATGCAAGAACAAGTGTCAGAGGCTGAGCTAGCCCCAAGTGCACTTTGTAAGGCCTTTAGACAAACACAAGAGAGCTGGAGGTAGATTGCTGGGGGACTCTCCCTTCCCCCCTGCAGAGAAATCAGTTACCTGAATAGCAGCTTTTTATTCTTAGATTGAAGCTCCCCTGAATATTGCAGGTTTAAAGGCACAACTGGGATTTACTGAAAACTGTTTAGCACACACGAAATCACCACAATTCTCCTGTCTATTCCTTCCTAAAGGATACAGCAAAAGCGCCAGATAGTGCACCACCTCCAGGGGGCCCCTAGTCACTCTGAAAATGCCTGGAATAGTACAATGCAAATGAGCGACAGCTTATATTACCTGTGGTAAAGGGGAGCAGCATTACCAAATTTAGCTTATTCAATAACGTCCCCTTCTTCAAATGGGAGAAGAAACAACAAACAACACAAGCAGAATAATACTTTTCGAGAACATTCTTAACATAAAAGTCTAGCTGTTTTTTTTTTTTCCTGTCAAATAAGAAAAACAAATGAGAAACTCTCCATTATTCTTATCCTCTGGAAGGCAGCTGTCCTGACCCACTTCATCCCGCAGGACCAATCCTGTTTTCTCACCAATCTTTGCATCAACATGATGATCTGCTATTGATGTGATTAACGCTGTTGAGAAGGTGGCAGGAATCTATTTTTTCAAGTACCTTCTCAAGATACTGAATTAAAACTCGTCTTTTAAATCTGAAAATAGATTTAAAAAAAGTATTAGCCAAAAGATGCTGAAAGCACTTATGATGTGCAAGACACTATGTGGGGAGACAAATGGAGCTTGAGGAATACATGGAAATATAAAATATGTCCTCATGGAAAGTCACAGAGTAGTAAATTCCAAGGTCAGTTGAAGCCTCAAGCCCCCATTCAGACTAGTTGCATAATGAGTGTACCCGGATGACATCAATCTAAGTACTCTGCAAGACAGTCTGAAATATAAGTGAGGACCAAGTTTTGTGAAAAGCGAGCCCGTTCCTCTATGTTCTGTGTCGAGGCTCAGTGCTCACTGACAAGCAAACAAAAGCTTCCAATTTTCTTGTTAAGCTCACCTTGCAGCTTCCTTGATGGTAAATTCAACAAACTGCTTCTTCATCTCCAGAGGTCCTTGCACTTCTTCAAGCAAAACGAAAATTCTTTCATACTCTAAAGATATTTTATACGAATCAGTACTTAAATATATATAAGACATAAAATGCATAAGTCATCCTCAGTAATCATTCATCATATGCAGAAATGTACATGTAGTTATAGTGTTTTAAATATGTATTTTGCTTGAAAGGCAGAATTACAGAAAAAAAGGACACACATACACACAGATCTTCCATCCACTTGGCTGCAGGATTGGATGTGAAACAATGGGATCCAAAACTGATGCTCATATGGGGTGCTAGCACTGCAGGCAGTGGCTTAGATTACTATACCATGGCACCAGTTCAGTTCTTAGAGTTTTCAAAATTTTATTTTAATTATTTGTATAGGAGATCCACCATCTGCTGGTTCACTTCTCCAATGCAACAGGCAAGGCTGGGCAAGCTGATGCCAGAACCCAGGAATTCTATATGGCTTTCCTATGGAAGTGGCAGGCACCCAAGAACTTGTGCCATCACATGCTGCCTCCAAGGTACGCTGTTAGCAGAAAGCTGGAATCGGGAAGGCTGAGGTCTTACACCCGGGCACTCTGAAATGAGATGTGTACATTTGGAGGGTATTTTAACCACTACACCAAACAGAAATTTTGGAGTTTAAGCACCCCAATCAACTCTGCTGCACATTGGGGCTGGTGTTGTGGTTCCCCTATGAACTAACTCCTGCAACAGTGGCATCACATACAGGTGCTGGTTCCAGTCCTGGCTGCTCTGCTTCCAATCCAGCTCCTTGCTAATGCACCTTGGAAAGCACGAGAAGATGAACTCAGTGATTAGGAGTCTGCCACTCATGCTGCAGATTCAGAGTTCTAGGCTTTGGTATCGCTCAGCCCTAGCCCATGTGGCCACGTGGGGAGAAAATCAGCAGATAGAAGATGTCTTTCTGTCTCTGTCTCTCCTCCCACTCTGTAACTATGCCTTTCAAATAAATATTAAAATAAAGTGGATAGAGCCCAGCGCCGTAACTTAGTGGCTAAAGTCCTTGCCTTGCACGCGCAGGGATCCCTTATGGGCGCCGGTTCTAATCCTGGTGGTCTCACTTCCCATCCAGCTCCCTGCTTGTGGCTTGGGAAAGCAGGTAAGGACAGCCCAAGGCCTTGGTACTCTGCACCCACGTGGGAGACCCAGAAGATGCTCCTGGCTCCTGGCTCCTGGCTTCAGATTGGCTCAGTTCTGGCTCAGCTCTGGCTACTGTGGCCACTTGGGGAGTGAACCATCAAACAGAAGATCTTCTTCACTGTCTCTTCTTCTCTCTGTATATCTGACTTCCCAATAAAAATAAATAAATCTTTTAAAAAAGTGGATAATGGAGCTAAAGGATGATTGTTTCCTAAAGAAAAATCTTCACATATCTACTAAGAAAACTTTTGTAAGCAATGATGAAATATTGTGAGTTGAATAATAGCTGACTAGTGTTGCTCTACACCCTAGAACTTGTAAGTTATCTTCTGTTGTGAAAGAGATTTGCTTTGCAGATGTGATTAACACTCCTGAGGAGAATATCCAGGTTTATGCATTGGGCCCAGTGTAATGACAAGGATCGAAGAATGATAGAGTTAAGATCAGAGTGACATAAGGAGAAACAAAGCTAACCAACACTGCTGACTTGAAGATGGAGAGTGGTGTCATAAGCCCACAAGTACAGGTAGCCTTTAGAAGCACAAAAAGGCAAGGAAATGGATTCTTCTTGGAGCTTATAGAACACTGGACTGTCAACATCTTCATTATAGCCCAGTAAACATAATGTCATTGTTTGGGTTTGTTTCAAGTAACAAATTTTGTGGTAATTTCTTTTAGCAGAAGAAATAAACTGTTATGAAAAACAAAAAGGAGAAAAATATGTATTTGTCCTTGTAAAAAGTATTTACTTTTATTTCAAAGACAGACTTGCTAACAGGAGAGACAGAGGGGGAAGGACCCCTGTTGGTTCACTCCCCAAATGGCTGTAACAACCAGAGCTGAATCCCAGGTCAAAGCTAGGAGCTTCTTCCAGGTCTCCTGTGTGAGTGCAGGGGCCCAAAGACTTAGGCCTTCCTCTGCAGCCTTCCCAGGTTACAAGCAGGGAGCTGGGTCAGAAATAGAGCAGCCACAACACAAATTGGTACCCAGATAGGATGCCAATGCTGCAGGCAAAGGATTAGCTTGCTATGTCATTACATTGACCTCTTTATTGGTCTTTTAAAGTGCCCCCAAATTGCTTTAAATTGTGTGAAAACTGTGAGACCAATACAATGGCATAGTAAGCCAAGCTTCTGCTTGTATCCTACATGGGAACTATACTTCAAATCCAACTCCTTGTTTATGTACCAGAAAAGCAGTGGGGGATGGCTCAAATCCTTGGGCCCCTGCACCCATGTGGAAGATGCTCCTGACTCCTGGCTTTGAACCTACCTAACTCAGGTCTTTACAGCCAGTTGGGGAGGAACCAGTGGGTGGATGATCTCTCTGTGTCTCACCTGTTCTCTCTGTAACTCTACCTTTCAAATACAAATAACATAAATCTCTAAAAATGTATATGAAACACACTCAATCTTCAAAAAAAAAATGAACTTCAAGAGGCAGCTGAAAACTATTCTGAACCACAGAATGAAAGGCACCTCCTACAGTTTTATTGATATCATTTTCTTAACTTACTTCGCCCAAACTTTCGAACTTCCTTCATTAGCTGATGTTTTATGTCAGCATTAATTCCTTGTGCCATAGCTGGAGTTATTTGTGTTCTATTTGACACGGTTTCAAAAGTTGATGGAACTGTAACTTTTCGGTCATCTCTGCAGAAATTGTGATTTTTGGCTTTTCCTACAGGTGCATTACCAACAGGCATGTGTGTCACCCCTTCTTTGCCAGGCCGAGTGAGGTCATCTGGTAAAGAATGTGGTAGGTTGTGGGGAAAACCATCTCTTGTCACACTCATCAGCTCTGGCAGGGCAGATTTTGGTGAGAATCCAACAGGAGGGCTTTGACCATTTTCCATCTTCTCCTCATGGGCATCGTGAGTAACAATATCTGGAAAGCAAAAAGAGATTGGGCTGTGAGGTGGATGCATTAAGTCAACCCCATAGGTGCATCTTTCTACTTTACAGTTTCAAGGAAATTACTCATCTTAAAAATATGCATTATTGACTTGAATGGCACAGTTAGAGATGGGAGAAAGAGAGAGAGAGAGAGAGAGAAAGAGAGAGAGAGAGAGAGAGAGAAAGATCTATCTGCTGCCTCATTCTTTACTTTTACTCAGTGGCCAAGGCTGAGTCAGGCCAAAGCCAGAAGCTTCTTCTAGGTCTCCAACACAAATGCAGGAACCCGATCTCCTGTGTTTCCTAGGCTTTTAATCAGAAGTGGAGCAGCTGGGACTTGAACCAACAACCATATGGGATTCCAGTCTTACAGATGGCAGCTTAATCTGAAATGCCACAATGCCAGTCCCAAAATTACTTGTTTCATAAATTGGGATGATCAACCAGAAGATTAGAGAGCCTTCAAATTGAGCTCAGGAAGATAATACAATTAAACCATCTTCTTCCCTTTCTGACACTGTGAACCTAGAGAAATTAAGAAAGACAACACAACTACTCAACAACCATTCGCAGATCCCTGGCATTCATTATTTAGTGTCAAGAGTGTTATGATTTACAAGTGGAAAAGCAGCAAGTCTCACATGACATGATGACTTTTCAAATTCATGTACAAGCTGACATGCTTCACTGAGCATGAAGTCAGAAAACTTGCAGGCATACCAACCTGCATCTTCCTTACATCATTGTTTTCCAGAAGTATTTATTTGAAAGGCAGACAGAAAAAGAAAGAATGAATGAGTAGAGAGAGAGAATCATTTATCGGCCAATTCATTCTTCAAATACTTGCAAGCAGCCTGGATTACGCAGGCCAAAGCCAGAGACTCCATCTTGATCTCACATGTGGGTGGCAGGAGAGAGGGATCCAAGTACTTGAGCCATTAACCTCTGTTTTCAGGTGTATTAGCAGGAAGCTGGATTGGAAGTGTAAGAGCCAGGATCCCACTGAGTACTCTAACATGGGCCTCTCAAGCAGCATTTAAACCTGCAGTACCACAATGGCCACCCCAAATGGTAACTTAACTGTTGCATGAGCACCCAGCTCCTACATCAAATATTCTGAGAAAACACAGATGTTATTTAGCTGAGCAATCTACTCCATCACCCCAAATTCCCATCTGTATAGGATCCTCCTCAAATTTCCCTTCTGTGTCAGAGAAGTGGGTTCCTTCTTTCTCCAAATCAAATGACTCAGTTTCCTGTGTTTCTCCTTTGTGCCACCCCTGTCTGGGCATCAACAGTCAAGAAAATGGAAAGAAATGTCCCCTGAAGTCATGCAATTCACATTCCAGGGAGGAGAGACAGGAGGCGCTATTGAGCCAACCAAAAAGCACAGCTGGACTTGAATTAGAAGGAAGCCGTGATGTGAGGGAGAGTAGCAGAGCATCACCCAGGACAGCCCAGGAGATGGTGGACATACAATCCAGGGATGCTGTAGCCTTTACAAACCCCACGGGTGTCATCAAACGCCACGGAAAAGGCTGCAAGTAGATCTGCTTCGGAGAAGAGTAATGTCAGAGGCTTAAGATGTTAGAAAACCTACACAGATTTGTGCGCTTATTAGACACCTAAATGGAGATGCCACGTTTGTGGTTATTTCCGAGTCTAGCGTTGAGGGGCAAGTTACACTCTAGAAGGATGAATGTTGGACTTGGTGAAAGACAAATAGAAAGTCCCAAAGCTACATGGGATCAGAGAGAAAGGGGCGGCAAGAAAGAAATCCTAGGACTGAATTTTGAGGTCCTACACTACTTAGAGGTGGGAAAGAAATGATGAAACCAGAAAAAGAGGATAACAAGGAATCATCATTAAAGGGAAAAGAAAACTGGGAGCTTGTGGTGTTGGGGACCCTGAGGTTTCTATATAGGAGAGAGTGAACAATGGTGTGCAATGCTGGTGACCTTGATTATTGCTGGGTGGGGGGTGGGGTTGGGAGGCAGATTCCATGCTTCCCTGGATCACAACATTAATTTCTCCATTAGTTACTGTGTTAGCTATTTGCTAAGTTACATATTAATTGCTGTTGATTATTATGCTACTACTACATAATTATAGATCTTTTCTCCTTGTATACCTCAAAAAAGTGAATGAAAAATGTAATTAAAAGTGTTTATTTCGGTGCAAAAATTTTTGAAGTGCATGAAAACAAAAGCTGTTTAAACAGCTCATGAAGATGTATACCATGAAATTATGCCCAGATTTTAAAAGTTTTTCAACAAAATAAATTTATTTTCAGCTGTCTTAACTACTGTGCCAAAGGTCTCTCCATACACTGATTTTTAATTCTATTTTCTCACAATTTTTTTTTAAAAGACAAAGGTATTCATTTATTTATTTGGAAAATGGAGTTATGGAGAGAAAGATTTCTTTCATCTGCTGGTTCACTCCCCCAGTGGCTGCAAATGGCCTGGAGCCAGGAGCTCAGAACCCCATTCAAGTCTCCCACGTGGGTGGGGGCGGGGTACAAAGGGCCATCTTCTGCTGCTCTCACAGGTGCATTTCAGGGAGCTGGATCAAAACTGGAGCAGTCAGGAGGCGAACTGGCATTCAGATGAGAATGCCAGCATTGCAAGCAGCAGCTTAACCTACAGCACCACAGCACTGGCCCCTCCACAAAGTTTTTGAAGTATTCTTCGAGAATTCCATGGGGCTATCATAGCTACAACACAGATGATGGAATAAACTCCTTACAAAAGAAACAAATACAAAGGAAAGTGAGATTTGTTAGTGTCTCATTCCTCTAGGAACCAAAAGGAAATCAGAACTACTACTTTATACCTGAATGTCCAACAGTAGATTTTATGAGGTTTGGATAAGATGGGAACCACAACGCTGAGGATGGCTCCTTTCCACCCACATGGTTAATTACAGGAGGCGGGGCTTGTGGTTTCCTCAACAGCTGGGACATGCTCCGCCTTCTCTTAGATGACATAGGATTATTGGGTTCTCCAGGACGCTTGACTTTATTTTGTGGCCCTGCCACAAACTCATCTGCTTCATCAATCATCATTCCCTAAAAAAAGGAAAAAGTTGACAAATTCCACTAAAGACTAAAATTAAAAATATATATATATAACAAAACTGTAAGCACTGTTCATATGCAAATGTGCTCAATCATGTAATATTTCATTAGTCATGGGCCAATCAGTTACCATGCCCCACATAAACTACATTCTCAGAAATTAAATAGGAACAAAACTATTAAAATACAAGGCCAAATGCACTACAACAGTGAGTCATTAAAAAGCTCAAAATCATCAGAAGGGATAAACCCACAACTACTGTTTTTGAAGCAGTACAAATCATTTTGCACCAATTCTTGGTAGGGGAAACAATTAGCTTTTTTTGTTCTTTTCTGTTTCAAATCCATTATCAAGAAACACTGGATAAAACTGTGTGGAATGCTATACATAGACGGTGATATCATTTCCTCCACCACCACTTCAAACATAGATTTACATAAATCTGTCTTGGTGCTGAGTAAGGAGGCTTTTCGCTCTGAAGCTTACAGATGAAAGATGAAAGCCAGCAATACATAAAAACAAAAGCCAGCTAAAAACTATCCACAGGCAACGAAAGAATTCGAGTCTCATTATTTGAATAGAATCAAGACAAATCACTTCTACAAATGATTTCCCACATAAACAGAATAGAGAAGGGAAAACATTTTTGCTGAACATTTAGTACATTCTTGATAATGTTCTAGACAATGTGAATGTATTACTTCACATAATATTCTGTACAGTTCTACCAAGTAAGTGTAATTGGTATCCTTACTGTCACGATGAGGAATTCAAGGCAGAGAAATAAAAATAAAAGCTCCAGTTAATTGAGGATTAGGGTGTGATAGAATACTTTTGAGTCCAGTTTTAATGTTATAGATATTATTGCATGTTCTAAGCCTTTAAACCAATAGTCTCCTTCATAAGATATAATCTCATTCTTCATGTTCCAATGGTAAAACTTTCCCTCCCTCTCTCTCTGACGCACACACACCCTTCAAATCTAGATTTGTAGTAGGACAATTCAAATTGGCAACATCACCTAGTATTTGATAGTTCTCATCACTGCCTAACTAGGCCATAGCAAACCTGAATCATAAAAATATGTGAAATAAATAGACGTCTCAATAGTTTTAACACTAGCATGTGAAGCTGGGGAAGAATATAGCCTCTTCAATCAGAAAGATGTGCTTTCAAAGCCTGGTTCTTACCAGCTAAGTCACTATGCCACAGGGTAAGTCATTTGACCACTTTAAAACTTTGCCCCTTCTCATTAAGGAGCAGACAGCAACATCTGCCTCACAACACAACTGCAACATCAGATGCCATTATTTAAAGCACCATTACAGTATCTACTCGGCAGTCGATAAATGGCAGCAATTATTTTATTCAAGCAACACACTTCTGCATATAAAGTCTCCCACTTGTCATCTCTGAAGAGCCATGGTGTGAACCTTAGCTTTTTAACAGACCAAGAGCTTCGGATTTATGTTCATCTTGCTGTTAAAAAAAAAAAAAAAAAAAACTTGCAGCAAGGATATAATAATTTAGATATAGGAATTGGTGTTGTACCTTCTTATCTTGTTTAAATGGGTTGCCAAAAGTGTGCAGTCTTTTCGGTTGATCTGGGTCAATCTCTCGTAGTGGAGAAGCCAGAGTCTTCAGATACTCCTGATAGTTGCCCATTTGGGCAACTGGAACACTATGAAGGGCATCTGCAAGGTCACCAGGAAAAAGAAAGTGATGTTCTAAACTACCTACTCGTTCTGTGACTACCTTCATGGAAGCCACACATGGTATTTTCTCAATCAACAGAGGGTACTTCGCTGCTCAGTTACCTTCATCTTGTCCAACTATGAACTTGTGTACTTTCAGTAGATTTGATCTCATTCTGGTTAACTGGTCTAAAAGATCTCTACGTGGAATATCATAAGCATTTCTATACGTCTGAGGTTTCAAATCCTATGTGAAATGAAACAATTCCGTTTACTCCTGAGGCATTTAATATAGAAATACAGTACTTCACATTCTTAAACTTTTCTTGCAGAAAGCAATATCCAATACTACTGAGTACATCAGAGTTTTCCTGGTAGAAAGTTCTCACTGTCTCGATTTCTACATATCCAAACCAATTAGGCATCAGAAACATCTCTTTTCATGTATCATTTAGATCTCGCGAGATTTAGGCCTGTGGCAGCTTGGCAGGACATCGAGTCCTCTGGCAGCCACGGCAGTGAGCGGCTGGGATTCCCTCCCTACCCCCCAGGAAGGTGATAACTAATTCTGCAATGAATACAGCTGGCAGGAAGCCTCTGGCAGCACATTAGGCATGGCCCCGAGGCCACACTGTGTCCAGGTTGCCCACAGCCAGTGATGGAGAACAGCTGAATCACCAACTCTGCCCAACAGGAAGCTCCTCTAAAGGGAAGCCTGGTGTCAAAGGTCCCTGTTGGGATAGCAGCAAAGACTGTCTCCCAACTGTGTCAATGCCTGCATCACTTCACACAGCCTTCCGTCTCCTTCCTCTCAAAGGCACGAGATCAGCACTGACGTCTGTGTCTCTGCGTACCCCAGCTTTCTGGCACCTTCATCTTCATAGACTGTTGTCCCCCAAACATGTACATTTAATTCCATATTGGCCTCTACCGGCAGGACAATGCTCAACCTGGTCAGTTAGCAGCTCATCATGCCAAAGCAGGATTGTCATTTTTTGAACTCAAAGAAATATGGAAGACAAAATGTATGTATCAGGCAAGTTCAAAACATGAAATGACTTGTATTACAATTTACCTTGTTTAAAAGCCCTACTTGAAAGCCAGCAAATTCTTTGGTATTAAATTCTGTCAGTCTTGGTGCAGTTTCCCCTGTGATTTCTTTCAATAGCTTTCTAAAGTTTGTATTGTGAGTCAAGGGCACACCACCTGTAGAATGATTTTTCACTCTGATTCCAATTTCCTGGGGAGGTTTCTTCCCCACTGATGCTAGTATTCGTTCTGACTCTAGTTTGGTCTAAAACGAAAGTAGATAGTATGTTATGAAAATATCTACATTATCACTGTCATTTTTTACTACTTAAGAAAGACAGTATTTTAAGAAACCCACAGAAAAACTTTCAATTGCAAATCACAGGAAAGTGGATAATTAAACTTTTCCTGTGCCTCTGTATTACCACAGCAAAGCGAGATGGGCTAGAAAGATAAATAAAACCTTTTTTCCTTATCTAGTGCCAAAATTAGGATTAAACTATGGAAAGAATGGAAATCATAGGAAAGAATTTCACTCAAGGACATCTAAAAACACATTTTGTTACTGTAAAATCTGGTCAGAGTTAATATTAATTTCAGATCCAGGAAAAAAGTTCAAGATTCTATACTTATAAATGTAAATTAGCTCTCAAATTTAGATTACACAAAGTGGCAAAATATCTGAAAAAAATAATCTGCTTATTTCTAATATAGGATTATAAAAAAGTTATAGAAGGTGATAGTTAACAGATTATGTAAAGAATTTGTAATGTGAATTCCATAAGTATCTTGCTAACTTACAATGCAAAATCCTATCATATGGCTTGATATTGTTTGCGTGAATATTATAGCAATACATTTGGCATACTGTGTGTTTTACTTATATGTGAGATAGTTCAAGGAACATTGATGACAGAGTAATTAAATGAATAGCAAATAGAACTATAATAAATTAGTAATGATTTTCTCTTTCTCTCTAAATCATGGAACTCCATCAATGTCCAGTAAGCCCAAAATAAGTTTAGATTTTTTGTGGTTTGGCCAGAGACATTTATCAATTTCTCTAAAAACTAGAATTAAGTATGTTTGTTAACTGCCAAAATTCTTAATACATGAAATATGAGATGAAGATTCTGTTTTCTTAAATGGTCTTGAAAGTTCATATAGACAAATGTTGGCCCCCAAAAGTTCTAGAACTTTTATTATTTTCAACTCTGTTCACTTTCTTCCTTGAGGTCAAACCCTGCTGAGACAGCCTTAAAGGCCCAGGGTAAACATTAAATAGAAATCATACAAATCAATAGATTAATAAATAGATAAATAAGTAACCAAACCAAAACATTTATAACAACAAAAGAAAATCCATTAGCAGAGAGGAAAAAGCAATAAGGGACACTCAGTAGATCATGAATCTACCAAGATTTTGACTTCACTTTCTCTTGTATTTCTGAGCACACTGGACTGGTAAGAGCTAGTAAGCTCTAGAATAATTTTTTTTTTTTTTGGCCAGTTCCTAGCAAGGTGTGTCAGCATCTCAGTTGTGGAGTTTTTTTGATCCTTTAATGAAATCTGACACTTTGCTTGCTACTGTCTGTTTTGAAAAGCCAAACTTCCAAACATATTTGACTTTAAGCATTTTAATCCCTGAAAATGTAACTGTAGTTTCCTACTTGGGAACACATTTATGCATGCATCTGTCCTATTAGATAATTTGCCTTGAAACAAAACACATTTGTATAGCAGTAAGGCTCTACCCTCAGTAATTCTGACATTTCTACTCAGCAAGAAAGGGCTAGGGAGAGGTGAGAAGTATGACAAGGAGTGGTGAGTGGAGGATGAGGTACTAATAGAGAGGGGCAGGCAAGGGACAAGGTGAATAATGATAAATGAGGTGGGGCTATACAGGCATAGCTGCAGGGCAAAATGAGAGGAAGTTGAACTCCACTCTTCAGGTCTCCTGAGGCCCCATTATGCTCCAGGAGGAGGAATACTGGTCTCAGCTGTCCACACTCCAGAGGAAAGCATATGACCGTTTGTCCAAGGGCCAGCATGTGAGTGTGTGTCTGAAAACCAATTTCAGGCAAGCCAGTGAATCGCACTATGCCTAAGTGTGCTGGCCTACAAGAGGGAAATTCTCTAGCCCAAAGTGATTGGAGAAGAAACTAGGTTGAGAACAGGCAAAACGTGACCCACGAGAGAATTTTATTAAGCCTCTCCCCCTCTTGGGCCACGAGCAACCAGCTTGAGGGTAGAACAAACTGGCAGGCAAAAGGAAAAATGGCACAGCATCAAATGATACTGACAGACCTTTAACTGTAGTTAAATGTTTAAGCTAGAAGCCATAGAGAATCACATTATTATTAATTCATAGAGTGTAGAGATATATACACATTTAATTTGAGAAATTACAATTACACTAAAGAATAAGGAAATGCACTTCCGAGGGCAAAGGAGTTTTGTTTGTTTGTTTTTACCAATACTACCTGTTGGCTGAGTTTTTTAAGGTAAGAGATAACACTGTAACTAAGTCCACAATCTAAATTATCTGATATCAGATTTGGAGCTCCCATCATCCTTAGTGCTTTCTTTAATGGCTATAAGGAAACAAAATACACAACAGTAAGAATAGAATAAATCTTAAAATACTCAAAGTTCAGCTATAGGAGGCAAAGGGACATGATTCATTTCTTAGAAGTCAAGGTGCTGCACATAAAACCAAACATGGAACATTAAAAAGTGGCAATGAAAATAGCAGAGAAATAAGAAGCAGAAAGTAAAAAAATCAGAAGAGAGTGGGCTAAGAAGAACAACAGCAAATTCAAACAGGTAAATTGCTTTCAGTCTTAATCCCCACGTCATAAAAACATTTAACATTGTATCTTATTGTGCACCCCATTCCTGTCATGATAAATACCAACACACCAGTTTCTCCTCCCAGTGACACCATTGGTATAATTTAAGACTCTGTCATGTCATCTCTAGAAACTTTTCTTAAAGTTACCATATTAACCTCTGAAATAGTTCAGATAATCTTGCTTTAGATTATACTACCAATTTAAAATGATCATGAATACTCTCCTGACTATAAAAATAAAAATGAGGCCAAGTAATTTTTGGATGTTGCCTATCATTTCTTACATTTCATGCTCTATCTAAAATACATTTAACAATCAATAAGCAGCTGTAGTCTCCTTTTTCATGGGGAAATCCCACAGAGAATGTCTAGAGTCACAAAGGAAAGTTGATGTCATATACGAAAAAGATCTGTTCTTAAATTTCAAACTTCAATTTTATAAGCCTCGCTTCAGTAAGACAAACATAGATGTGTTTCACATGAATAGATAGATAAATAAATAAACAAACAAATAACCATGGCAGGGAAAAGAAATAAAATAGAGAAAGCAGTTCCTTTTTTGTGGCACCACTTCATCTCCAAACTTTTACACATGATTGGAGAAGACAATGATGACACAAATATTTGTAAAATTAAAAAGATGGCTTTCTTATTGCATGGCAAAACTGATTCATTGGCATTTCTTAGGACAACAATCATTGATACAGTTTATGTATATATACACAGAAATACATACTAATAAGTAGTATGGAGGCAGAGTTTTTAAGTAGCTGTCAAAAGCCTGTCGCCACTTCAGATTTGGCTTAAGCTTGTGAACTTTAAACAAGTCATCTGGAACAGAAAACCAAATAAAATATTACATTAAGCTAGTCCTAACTTCCAATATTTACATTAAGCAGTTCACATTTTGATATTTCAGATTGGAATTGCACTAGATAAAATTGTCACTGTAGTTTATTGGCTTTTGTAATTTCTTGCACTATTTACCAAAATTATCTGCAATATTTTTGTAGAAAATAAGTTCTTGAGTTACACATTTTTCTTCCATCTTTGATACAAATAGAATATCAAATATGATTCTGATTTCCTTGAGATATTTCTGTAAACCATTATGTGTTGATAACACTATTGTAGTAATTTTCACCTAAGGATAGGAATCCATGGGTCCCTGGTTGATAGAATAACTTTTATTTTTTCATTTAAGCATAGAGGATGCTATACTTTGTGCTAGAAGGTCAAGGTAAGAGAGTTTATCAAGTATATGAGAACAAAAGCTAAGCCTTAAATTTCTGAGCAACCATGGGTAATCCTTAAACTCTATTTCAGATTTTCCTTAAGCATCTCATCCTTTTTGAACCAGATCTCTCTTTCATCATTTCTTTGGTTTCCATAGTCAGTATGCTCCTTGAGTACCATGTTCTGTGATATACCTGAATTTATTTAGCTTAAATAAGCAAACATTTCTTATCTTTTCATAATTAGCTTTAATTATTCTAACAAACCAGGTACATTATGTACACTGCATGAAAATGCATGCAATTTCTCTAGAACTGAGCTGCATCCCCCCCAAATGTATGAAACATCTCTTTACTTCTTTCCAAATATAAGAGAAATATTTTAATATAATAATTCAAAATTGATATCCCCAGAAATAAATATGAATCTGCTACAGCTATAGTATATATACTAAAGATACTATAAATCTATCCTGTTTTGCCTTATTTCTTTGGATTTTTTTTAGTTCTTGTTTAAAAATGTTTTACTTTCAGAAACAAAACTATCCCAATGCCATGTGTCTAAGTTCTCTGCAAACAGGACTATGTGAAACTCTTAATGGTTACCTATGGAAAGCAACTAGACATTTTCTTCTTTTTACAGATATATAATCAATTATTCTCATTTTGGTGAATTCACAAGATCATAAAATGCAGTGCTTTGTTTTCTGATTCCACTTGTTTTGTTATTAGACAAATTCCTGGCTCACTGCAGCAAACAGGTCTTCTAACGATCATTGATTCTAAAAATCACAGAAGTGGTGGGGCTCAACAGCCTAATTCTCCACCTGCTTCTGCTGGCATCCAAGGTGGGCATCAGTTTGTATCCTGGCTGCTCCAATTCCAATCCAGCTCCCTGCTGGTTACCTGGGAAAACAACAGAGGATGGCCCTTGGGACCCTACACCCATGTGGGAGACTGGAAAAGGCTTCTGGCTTCACATCTGCCTAGGTTTGGATGGAAGATCTCTCTCTGTCTCTCCTCCTTTTGTAAAGTCTACTTTTTAAATAAAGATAAATAAACCATTACAAGTTAAAAATCAAAAGACTGAAAGGTAACCAATTGGATTTCTATTTACCAACAGTGACTATATAGATAAGACCAATAAAAAGATTGTACCATTTGTAATCACTTAAAAATGCAGACAGGGAATTTGATGCAGTGGGTTAAGACACCACTTGGGATGCCTATATTCCATATTTCAGTATTGGAGTGCCTGGGTTCGAGTCCAGCTTTGCTCCTTATTCCATTCCTTGCTAGTAATGTTGATCATCTTTTCATATACTCATGGACCATCTGTTAATCTTTGGAGAAACGCTATTGAACTTCTTTGCCCATTTTAATCGACGCATTTTGTCGCTTTTGTTGTTGATAGGAGTTATTTATATATTTTGAGTATTAGCCCCTTATCAAATATCCGATTTGCAAACATTTTATGCTATGTCATTGGTCACCTTTTCTTTGTTGTACACTTTGGTGAATATAAGGTTTACATCTGATATAGCCTCATATGTCTAGTTTTGCTTTTGTGGTTTATACTTTTTGTGTCATCTCTTTATGTATTATCTATCACAACTGTATGTGAACTTACAATTATCTCAAAATAAAAAGTATGTAGGGTGTGGCACAAAGGCTCGATGGCTAAATCCTTGGCTTGAATGTACTGGGATCCCATATGGGCACCGTGTCCCGGCAGCTCCACTTCCCATCCAGCTCCCTGCTTGTGGCCTGGGAAAGCAGTCGAGGACGGCTCAAAGCCTTGGGACCCTGCACCCACATGGGATATCGGGCTCCTGGCTTCAGATCAACTGCTCCATTGCCATTGCGGCCACCTGGTGAGTGAATCAATGGATGGAAGATATTTCTGTCTGTCTCTCCTTCTCTTTGTAAACCTGCCTTTTCAATTAAAGAAAAAATAAATCTAAAAAAATTATGTAAAGGAGTATAGAATAGTATTTGTCTTCTGTTTCTGTTATGTTTCACTCAATGTAATCTCTTCTAGCATAGTGCCTACAGTGAACAATATTGTATTGATTAGTTAAAAATGTACTAATAGAATAGATCTTATGTTAAATACTCTTATCATAAATAAACAAATAAAATGGGCAAGGATAAATTTTTGAAATGACAGGCGATTTTATGTATGTATGCCTATCTCCAATATCGTCAAGTTGTATACATTAAATTTACACATACAGCTTTTTATGGCAATTATACTGCAATAAGTGCATCCAAAAATATCCTTGAAAAATAAAAAAACAATACTGATAATAGTTTCAGTGATGTTATCTATTATAATATCTTCATTTTATAGCTGTAGGAAGTGAAGTCATACGTATATTTAACCAAAGAGACATAAACCACAAAATTAACTTTATTGGTAGTCTTACTAATCTCAAAGATACCTTTATGTTTAAGTTAGACACAACATAGAAGGTAGCTTCAAACTGGACTAAAATAAAATAGGTAAGCTATTAAAATATCATATGTTTATGATGACCTACTCTTAAACTTTTAAAGTCTCAATATTTATAATTATTACATATTCAATACATTTAATGTATATATATTGTGTTTATAATACTAAAATCTTGGGCTTTAAACAGTCATACAAAACCTTAGTGAAGATTTGATTATTTTAGCAAAAATCAGGAAATTCCACTTGATAAAAACATGCACAACTTTATAATTAGAAGGCTATTACACAACATTGTATTGCTCTAAATAGATGTGGCTCTTCAAGAGAGGCTCTCCACACACGTGTTCAGTAGTATCTGAGAACTAGCTTCTTGAAGTGCTCCCCTCACAGTTTTGCCAGGGAAACCACAGTTGGTACAGCAGATATTGCAGAATTTACTCTTGTGCCTGTTTCCTTAATTCGTTACCCTCCCTAAAATAGATGTCTCAACAGCATTTAGTATCCTGGGCAGAAAAAAATGCAAGCTGATATTGCCATCAAAGTTCTATTTTTAAAGAAAAACCATCAAATCACTGGAAAGCTAGCCCGAATCAATGGGATGTTTTGGTCCAAATGAGTCTATGAAAAAGCCAAGTACATTTCATACCAAGGGAAGAGTGCGCATAGCAATATGAAACCTAAAGAACAGCATAAGGAGCATACACTACAAGTCAAGGGTATCTCTTTATTTGATCTAAAAAAAAGCAACTAAAGGAAAACAATAAAACATATATGTGCAGAATCTATCCTTTTGAAACAGTTTTTAGATTTCTGTCTATCCTGGTATCAATGAATCTTTGATTTTATTCAGAATGTTTCCTCCACTGTTTTTCATTGTTGTATTTTAGAGATGATTAAGTGTCACTATGCATTTTACTTACCTAAAAGAGGAAGTAAAACTGGGTAGTTGTAAGGCATCACAAAGAGGTTTACACAAGTTAAAGTGGTACTGGCTTTTAAATAACCAAATGGAAACCCAAGTTCATTGTACTTCCCGCTGCTAGTAACAAATACCTGAGAACATGAAGTAGTGTACAGTTAGGACAGTAAGGATTTTATGTAAAACCAAACCCATAGCATCAGTTCATTGCAACATTACCGGCAGAGAAAGAGTGCTGTTAGCCTCTGCTTATGTCAGAATATACCATATATTAAATACAATGTTCACATTTATTTTCTTTATATGTTATTTAGGAAATAAGCAAAACTATGCAATCACAGACCACAACATAAATACCCAAACATATACCTGGTTAGCAAAATGGAAAACATAAGTTGAAATATCATTTAGTAACAATATTCATTAAGACAAATTAAGTTCTTAAATTAATAAAAGTGTAGCTTTTTAAAAATTCATTTATTTTAAAATCAGAGTGCAGAGGACACCTGGTACCACAACAGAGGATGGAGGACAGAACAAATCAATCAACTACCCAGGCCAAGTGGTGGCAGTGAATAACTGGACAAATGGAGATTTGCCAACTATGTCAACTGGTAGATTCTGGAGAGCTTTCACTGTGCTTGGAGTGTAAGATTGGCAGTAATTCAGAACTGTTGAATGAGCAGGACCCTCAGAGCATGCCCCAATTCGGGGACCCTAGGGTGATGTCAGGTGTCTGCTCTCCATCCCAGGGTGCAGAGGTGTTTCAGAGGCTGGGTGTGGCTTCTCTCCTTGCCTCTCCCCTTCCCTCAGAAACAGGAAGGAAAAAAGGAGAATGTGGAAATGGTGATTTCACTCACCTTCCTGTAGCCCTTGACCCTAATCACCTATGTAAAAATCATCAAAAATAAAAATAATAAAACAACAATAAAAACCAGAGTTACAGAAAGGTGGATAGAGATCTTCCATCAAGTAATTAACTTCTCAGATGGTTGCAACAGGGCCATCTGGACCAGGATGGAGCCTGCAGCCAAGCACTTCATCTGGGTGGCAGAGACCTAAGCACTCTGCTGTCTTCCTAGACCATTAGCTGGGAACTGAATCAGAAGTTGAGCAGCTGGGATATGAACCAGCACCTGTATGGAATGCCAGTGTCACAGGCAGCTGCTTTACCTGTATGCCACAATGCCAGGCCCAGACAATAGGCTTTCAGAAAATGGAACATTACAAAAATAAAGCTGAGGGGTGGCCATTGTGGCGCAGCACGATTAAGCTACAATTTGAGATGCCTGCTTCCCGTGTCAAAGTTCCCTAGATGGGAGTCTATCATTGCTTCTGATCCAATTTCCTACTAGTGAACATCCAGGGAAATAACAGGTGATGATGGCTCAAATACTTGGGTTTTTGTTTACTCCTGTGGGAGATTCAGACGAGGTTCTGACTGACCCAGTCCCACAGCTGTTGTGGGAGTTTGCTGAATAAACCTGTAGATGGAAGATCTCTGTCTCTCTCTGAGAGAGACAGAACGAGAGACAGAGACAGACTGTGCTTTTCAAATAAATACAGCATCTGTTTAAAGGATTATATAAACTAAGGACTGAGAACCTTGCTCCAGCTCTAGAAGCCATAACTAAAAAGAATTATGTTCTGCAATTAGGAATTCTTAGCCTGGGGCTCATAGACAGGCTTGATGGGGGAATAAATAAATATATGAAATTTCTTCATACTCCGGTGCCTTCTCTGATGCCTTAGATAGTAATGTAGGATGTGATCATTTCTATTGCGGCCCTACTGCTAATTTGATAGCATTGCAAAAATAGTGTTAACAGATTTAATCTAATTATTTGCACATTAACTTTCAACATTTCTTAAAACAAACTCCAGTGCAGTTACAGACATTTGGCTAATAGGAAAGGATAAGTACCTGCCAGCAAGTATGGGGAGACTTTCGTTCCAAGATGTATTGAGTTAAAGGCGAAGGTTCAAGTTCATATTTGTCAAAGGGTAGTTTGTCTATTACCATTGGTTCACAATCTATACAGGAGAACTTCACAATAGGATGAGACGTTCGTGGAGGCTAAAAGAAAGGAAAGGAAGATATTTGGTCATATATCAAACAAGCCACATATTTTTTCACAGTAATTTGCAAGCCCCTTTTATATTTTGCTATGTCATCAATAAGATACAAACTAATGTTTTCAGAAAGATTTACTAGACTTCCAGGAATCGCCAATAGCTTTTGTGAGGAAGAAGGGCTTAGAATTTTTAAAAGATTTATTTATTTGAAAGGCAGAGTTACAGGGGGAGGGGCAAAAGAGAAGCAAACCAGGAAGGAGCAAGGCAGGGAGGAAGGCACAGAAGAGATCTTGCTTCTGCTAATTTGCTCCCTAAATGGTCTTAGTGACGGGCTGGGACTGGCCAGACACAGGAGCTTCCTCAGTGTCAGCCACATGGGTGCAGAGGCACAAATACTTGGGCCATTTTCTGCTACTTTTCCAGGTGCTTCAGCAAGGAGCTGGATCTGAAGTGCAGCAGTTGGGATCTGAACCAGTGTCTTATATGGGATGCTGGCATCACAGGCGATAGCTTAACCGGTTGTGGTAGAACAATAGGCCCTAAAAACTCAGATTTTTTTTTTTAATCTCTATCATCCATTGGGAAGGGGAAAGATAAATTACAACACTAATAATTAATAAAAAGTAAAACCCTCTTTCAACATATTTAAGAAGCCATTAGGATCCATAGGATTAACCCTGGATTTCACATCCATTTTTGCAACTTCCAAGCTCCCTTCATTCCATTATAGCATGAGGTCACAGATAGCTCAGATGTTGTTGGAGAAGAAGACCAATACTAAGTTTGTCAAAGAGAATTTTGTTCTAAGTGCTGGTCACACCCACATGCTTGCCATGACTAGCTGGAGATGGGGATACTTTTGGGGAGTTGGAATAGGCCTGCATGCTTGGGTACAAGACCATATTAATAGGGAAGCTATTTTATTAATAACTTTAGTTTGGATGATCAGAGAGTCCTAGAGAAAGAAAGATGGACAGCAAGGGCAATATAAGAAGACAAAAAAAAAAATGTCTGTTCATGTTCTCTGCCTATTTCTTAACTGGATGTTTGTTATGTTGCTGTTGAGTTTCTTGAGCTCTTTATAGATCCTGGATATTAATCCTTTATCAGTTTTACATAATCTGCAAATACATTCTCTCACCAACTAGTCCACTTCTCAAATGTCCACAACAGCTAAGGCTGGGCAAACCCAAAGCCAAGGATTACGAATGTCACTGGGGTCTCACAGCTGATTGGTAAGGACTCAAGTCCTTGAGAAATCATCTGAACCCTCCCGGGGTTTATATGCTAGCAGGAACTTGAAATCAGGAGTGGAGTAGAGTCAAATCAAAGTACTTGGTTATAAGATGCGAGCATCCCAAAGGTCACCTTAACTACCATGTCAGATGCCCACCCATATTCTAAAATTTTCACTGTGATTCGAGGATTGAAATCCCAGAATAATGTTTACCATTTTGTTTCATGACACTTACTAGTGAAGGTAAATTCTGATCTGGCCAAAAGGATTCTGGAATCGGCCAATGTCCAACAGGAACACCAGTTTTAGAGTTAGGTCGTACATAAATGAGTTTATGACAACTATGCCATGGCTGAGCAGCAAATGAATTGCTTGGCCTTGATGAATCCATAAGTCCATCTAAAAGTTAAACAAGACATATACTGTCATGATTTTTTTTATAGCTGTTTACTTATACAAATTTTCAAGTTAAAAAAATTAGTAAATGAAACAAAACATATTTCACGGAAAATGGACAAGGAAAATTTTCTAGTAAGACTTCTAAATATTTTCCCTAACAACTCTTTCCATCTAATCCATCCTCTCTAATCCAAAATCTAACGTAAGATTATAGTTATACTAAAATTATTGTGAAACCAGTTTTAAATTTTATTACACTTCAACACATACAATACCTGAACACATCAAGACAATGGTTATTTTTAAAGAATAAGCAAACTGTGTAAATGAAATCATCTATTACCTGGTGTGGTGTTTACATTTTTGAAATCTGACAAAACAGATTGCAAATTCCATTTATGCATCAGGGTGCTTCGAAAAGTATGGAAAATTAAGCAATTAAGTTTATATTGGTGCAAAAAGTTTTAAATCTATTATTAGGTTTTTTAATCATAAAGTACACTCCCATAAACTTTTAGAAAACTCTTTGAATGAATAGATTTCAACATTTTTGCACCAAAATCAACCTACTATTTAATTCCATCTCAATGTACTTTTTGAAATACCTTATGTCTGTTCTCTTCCCAATTAGATCATTTTTAACTGAACAAATAGAACCAAGACCACAGAGACAAGATAAAAATTGTTCAATTCTCTTCAGTGTAGAAAGAGCTACTAGAAAAAAATACACACACACTCTATATAATATGTGTACACACACATACTCTATGTATTGGGGAGCAGGAACAAAAAGCAGTCCTTAAAGCAGTATCCTGCTGAATAATGTATGCAAAATGAATTTAAATTACTTAAACTGCATATTTCATTAGTCCTCACTCCCCAAAAATAAGCATGGTAAGACAGTTATATAATCTTTTATATGATGATTTATCAGCATAAATTATTTGTAAAAGAAATGCTTCAACCATTTGAGTCTCACATTTCTTAAATTACCAGTCATTTGATTTACTTATTCACGAACTGCTTTACCAGGGAGCTACTTAGACCACAATATTTTAGACCAGGTTTGATGACAGCTAGGAAAAATGATGTAACAGCTTTGAAAGATTCCTTTGCGGCCCGGCGCCATGGCCTAGCGGCTAAAGTCCTCGCCTTGAATGCACCAGGATCCCAGGTGGGCACCGGTTCTAATCCGAGCAGCTCCACTTCCCATCCAGCTCCCTGCATGTGGCCTGGGAAGGCAGTTGAGGACAGCCCAAAACCTTGGGGCCCTGCACCCATGTGAGAGACTAGGAGGAAGCTCTTGGCTCCTGGCTTTGGATGGGTGCAGCACCGGCCACTGTGCTCACAGGGGGAGTGAATCATCGGACGGAAGATCTTCCACTTTGTCCTCCTCTCTGTATATCTGACTTTGTAATAAAAATAAATAAATCTTTAAAAAAGATTCCTTTGAAGTTGATCTCACAAATCTGAAGATGTGTGTTTTTCTGATAAAAAGTTTATTTCTCTCATTAGAATCTGAAAGTTAAGAACTGTGAAGGAAGGAGAATTACACCTAGAAAGACAAGCTGAGCTATTTACATGAAACAAAATTCCACTAGCATTCAATATGAAAGTTGCTGATTCAAGTTAGTGTAGGGTACACAAAATTCTCGACTGCATAGTCAATTGATAGCAATATAAGTTGTCCTGCCAGTATGACTGACTTTAAATAAACTGTGAAGGCACACTGTTATATAGGGAAGGAGGATCTTAAGTTAGGAATCTGAGAAATCTCTAAACCCACATGTAAAAATGTGTGTTTCTATATATGTGTGTGTGCGTGAGTGGCCACGTGTGTGTTTTTATAGGGAAGTGGGTCTATGTTTTTACAATAGCTTCTCAAAGGGATATGAAAAAAGAGCAAGTAAATAAATAAATAAATAAATAGGCCAGGAAACAGAATCCATTGCCTCAAGAATGTGTAGCTTTCTGCCTTGCACACTCACCCCTTATGGTTTGGTTAAAGTAATAAATAATGTGTGAATCAGACTACATAATATCATAGTATAAATCATAATATGAATATATCCATATACACGGGGACTTCAAAAATAATCCATGGAAAATGCATATTATGAAGTAATTAGGTATATGTATCTAATTTTTGCACTGTAATAAACATACTCTAATTTTTAAAAAATTATTTGAAAGACGGTGGGGGGGGGTGGCTGTTCCATCTACTGATTCACGTCCAATATGGTCACAATAAGTGGATCTGGTCCAGGCTAAACCAGAAGCAAGCAACACAATCCACGTCTTCAATGTGGGCGACAGGGACTTAAGTACTTGAGCCACCCCCTGCTACCTTCCTAGGCACATCATTAAGAAGCTGAATCCAAAGCAGAACAGCTAGTGCTTGAACCGGTACCTCAGTATGAGGTACTGGCATTGGAAACTGCAGCTTAACCCACTGTGCCACAATACCAGCCTCGAAACTTATCTTTTAGTTTCATTTTTCTATGAACTTCATGACGTTCTTTACGTCTAAATGTTCAATTTCCTGACAACTTTACTTGAAGAACAAGGTTCTGCAGTTAAAACGTGGCCTAGAATATATGAGTATATAATCTTCTAGATTATATAATTAGTCCCTGGGTAAACATTCACAACCTTTTTCTAAGGATGGTAAACTAACACTGAACATGAAGATATGTGGCACTTAAAAGGTAAAAATCAGATTACTACTTTAAGTGACTAATCATAGTTAATTTCAAGAAATATTCTGAATAGAAAGGTGAATGAGTCAGTATCATCCCAAGATTGGAATCAGGGAATTATAAGTTGGACTGTTGAAAGGAGGAATATTCTTGGGAACATTCAACATGAGATGAAAACTATTATAAATTGGCTACCTAAGCATACATATAGGCAGTGATATATGGAAGTCATTGGATGAATGTTTAGAAGTACTTACTGTATTCAGAAAGTGAAGACTGTGTCTACTGTAATTTGTCTAGTGTCTTCTAAATCTTAGGTCAGTCCTCTATATAACAGTTTAGTGTTAAAAAAGTAATCTACTGTACCTTCTCCAACAGGAAGTGGATCTGGTCCTGTTTTTTCAAAATTAATAACAACACCACTCTGAACCTTTTGAACCAGAGATTCTAAACACTGGTTTAACATTCTTTGTGTTCTAACACAGTAGGAGCGACCTATATCAGAAGAAGAAACAATAGCATCAAGTATGCTAAAAATCAAACATTGTTATAAAAATTACTATAAAAATAAAACACAAGCATTTGGAATCCAAAATATCACTTGAGGTAACAACCACATGAGTTTAAGCAGCAGAGTTAAAAGATTCTTAAAGAAAACAAGACTGGACTTCATGAAAGCTACACTCTGTTGTTCTGAATTCTTACAGAAATAGTAAACGTTATCCATACCTCCTGTGACTTCACACATCTGTGTGATGGCGGATTCATCAGTTGGTACACTTCCTATTTGCTCCGGTTCAGTAGAAGCCACTCCAGGCAAACGTAACACCAAGGCAAATAATCTTTGATCCCAACGAAAAGGTTCTTTGGTTAGTTCGCTTCCAGGCAGAGGAGAATTCAAGGGAAGATGAAGCTGATAAGGTAAAATTTGAAAATTTCACCAGAGCAATTCATACAAAAGAGAAGGAAGCATTAAATATTTCATTTTCTCTCCTGTAACTCAATAAAATTAAGCAATCTTTCAAAGATGACCAAGTTTGAATGAACTTAAAAAAATATATTTAAAGACAGAATGGCAGAGAAAGACAGAAGTGGGGTAGGTGAGCAGGTGGAGATATCAGTCTTCCATCTGCTGTTTTGTTTCCCAAATGCCTGCAACAGCCACGACAAGGACAAGCCAAACTAGGAGCTTGAAACTCAATCTGGGTCTTCCACGTGAGTGGCAAGAATATTACTACTTGAGCTATCACTTGCTGTTCCCAGAGTACACATTAGTAGGAATTTAAATTAGAAGGAAAGGAACTGGGGCTCAAACCAGGCACTCAAAATATGAGATGCACACATGGCTAAACCACTACACCTCAATGCCCATCCCTTATTCTTTCTAAAATAAAATATTTATTTATTTATTTGAAAGGCAAAGAGATAATAGTACGCTACCATCTGCTGATTCAATTCCCAAGTGTTCATAATGGCTAGGACTGAGATTGGCTGAAGTTTGGAGCCAGGAGCTCAATTTAGATGTCCCAGAGAGAGAGTCAAAATTACAGTTTCCAAGGGGCAAAACCTGAGACATAAACCAATAAAATTCAACAAGAGATGTGGGCTTCTCAGCAGCGGGACAGGTGGCAGGGCAGGGAGAGAGACAAATCTTCTATTTGTTGATTTACTTTCCAAATGGCTACCACATCCTGACCTGTGCCAGGCCAAAGCTAGGAGTTGGGAACCCCTTCTTAGTCTCCTAAATGGGTGGCAAGGTCCAAGCAACCTGTTGTGGGTCCAGGTCATCTTCTGCTTTCAGAGTGCATTAGCAAGGAGCTGGATCAGAAGTGGAGCATCCAGTACTGGAATTTGCACTTATAAATGAGATGCTGGTGTCGCAAGCAGTGGCATAACCTGTTGTGACATAAAGCCAGCCCCCAACCTATTTTCCAGGGGAAATACATACCTTCCTCAGAAATGGTTGCATTGTCTTTGCCATTAAAACAAATGTGAAGCATTAAATCTCACCTCTTCTTGAACACCAGCTGTGCTTGTTAACTTCTTTCCATCGGTGATGGTGATTAACATAGATGGGTCTAGAAAAAATGGATTTCTCCCCTAAAATACATTTAGAAAGCATTAATCTAAGAAAGGTAATAAAATGTATTTAAACTTTTACATTTGCCTTGCCAATGATTTCTCAAGTATATGATAAAAATTGCCAGGATAAAAAGAAAAATATTAGCAGCAAAAATCAGGGAATGAAAATAACAATCTCTGAAAAGTTAAGCTATGTATAAACAAATTCTGATAATTCAGGAATTCCCCACACTACAATATCTAAACACCTCTATCCCTCTATTTTCCAAGTAGCCAGAAAGCAATATTAAGGAAGTTGTAACAGTGGGATAATCCATACTCATGAATGTATTCATGTGAGTCAAAACCTGCAAGATACGGGGCAGGAGTAACTCCTGCTCTGCACTTGGACTCTGACCATTGTGAGAAGAATTTTTAGAATATGAAAGAACAATGGTGGTAGCAGTGAATGCTACTCTGCCTTCATCTCATACTAGAGTTTTTTCATCAGATTGCAAGTGATGGGGCAGTCAACAATACTGAAACCTTCCAATTTTCTTATTCCAACATTTCTCAGTAATTTACTCAACCAATTCTCAGTTGTCCAATGATTTAATTTTAGGCAACTTTATTTATTTATTTAAATAACCAAGCGACATTTGAGAATTAAAAACTGGGACTCTTTTTGAAAGGATGTATTTAAAAGATAAATGTACCTCTTCTGCGAAGTTATGAAAAGTAGCAGAAAGCTTGGTAAACATACTCAAGTTAATTTTCTTATCCCAAGTCACCAAAATAAATTAGCTATACTCACTCAAATTTTTTTTACCTGTCCATAATTGTCTATTCCAGATATTAATCGATTAAGATTTAACAAATCAAATGAAGATCTCAGAGCCTGACCAAGAGTAGTCAATCCAGAAGCCTGAAGATTTTTTAATTCATTCATAAACGTTGCATGACTTTCCTTCCAACCAGCCTGAAAAACATTTACAAAGAAATTCCTAATTATATAATGAACAATAAACAAGTGCCAATAACCACTAACAGCAAATATCAAACTTCTAACAAAATTTCTGCTCCTTAACCTAATTCAATTTTATATCTTGACTGATTAACTCCAGCATGCAATTCGTTCAGAAAGATCAGTTAGCTTTAGTAATCCAAAGCAAAGAATTCAAGCAAGTAACATAATCCTCAATCATAGTCAGAGCTAGGGCTTTAAGAAGTCCTCTTTTAAAAATTTATTTCTTTTTATTGGAAAGGCAGAGCTGCAGAAAGAAGCAGAGACAGAAAGATCTCCAATCTGCTGATTCATTTCCCAAGTGGCTGGAATAGCCAGAGCTGAGTTGATTTGAAGCCAGGAGCATCTTCCACGTCTCCCACATGGGTGCAGGGTCCCAAGGCTTTAGGCCGTCCTTGACTGCTCTTCCAGGCCACAGGCAGGGAGCTGGATGGGAAGTGGAGCTGCCAGGACACTAACTTGTGTCCATATGGGATCCTGGCGCTTGAAAGATGAAGATTTAGCTCCTGAGTAATGGCACTGGGTCCAAGACGTCCATTTTTCTATCCATGCTCAAGCAAACCTACCAAAACCATCACGGCACTCTCAGCGTGGTACCAATGAGCATGGAGTAAGGGACAGAAGAAGCAGTAGGTATTTTTCCAATGAATTTTCCTTTACAGACCAACAATTAGTCACAGAGTGTCTGCTCAACATGAATTTTTCTAAACAAGATTTTTTTCTCCCAAGAAATATTTCGTATTTAAATGATCATATAGAGACAATTATAGGACCAGAGTCACACTTATTTGGAGAAAACCTTGCTGGCATCTTCAAGCACTCACAACACCCCCATATGCAACGAAGAGACAAACAAATTATTTTGGCAAAGAACCAATATCCTAAAGGCATCCCAGACAGCTGAAGACAGCAGTAAAGAACCAAGGACCCATGGTCAACAGCCAACATGCGGTTACGCATTGGTTTGGAGAACAGAAGAAAGGAAAGGGGGCTGGTGTTGTGGCATCATGGGAAAAGCCACTGTTTGTGATGCCAACATCCTATATGAGTACTACTTTGACTCCTCGCTGTTCCACTATTGATCCAGACTCCAATGGACTGGGAAAGCACCAGAAAATGGCCCAAACGCTTGGGTCCTTGCACTCAAGTGGAAGATCAGGATGAAGCGCCTGTCTCCTGGCTTTGGCATGGTGCTGGGGTCCATGTGATGGATGTGGAAGACAGGAAGGTGTGAAGAGTATTGTTCCTTTGCAGACAAGGCCGCAAGGAATGTCCCGCTGTGTGGCAAGGCCCAGTGGATGTCTCTACAACACCTGAATGCAGCTCTGCCTCCCTTTGCATGGACACCGGACAACCCCACTGAGTATTCTGTAATCTATTTAAGCATTGTCTGCCTCTGCGGAGTTATTGTTAAATATCAATAGGAACTTAGAAGCTGATGCTGCTGTTGCTGTTTTTTAGCCAAAAAGCTGTTATCGCTGTTATGGCTGCATCCTGTGGCAATATGCTAATCAAGGGTGCTAACTCCCCTTTTGGTCCTATGCTAATCAAGGGTGTTCTGTCTTCAGGTGTAGTGGGAATCTATTCTTTCCCTCTTTCTTTGATCTTTTAGGGCCCTTCCTTCCTTGACTGTCTCAAGACCAAGCTGTAAAGCAATTGTGGTAGGAATGTGTTAGTGATTGATATGCACCATCTATTGAGTACCTTTTCCTAGCCAGGCGCCAGGTGCCAGGTGAATAGCAACCTAGCCTTAGGTGAAACTAATGGCAGAGTTATCTTTAGAAACCCCCACTTGAGCGTGATGTAAAAAGCCTGAGCCAGAGTTTGACTGATTTTGTATAAAGCGGACAGCTTTTGTGCGTCGTCCACAATGGTCAAGAGTTCCTAGTGGTCCGTCTCTTTCTTTCTTTGCGCCTCATCCACGCACCCTTCGCGAGTTCCGAACTCAGCTGGAGCTGGACTCCGGCAGCAAGTGGCGCCTGAACAGGGACTCGACGAAGGTAAGTCTTTTCTTTCTCTTTGCGGCGTGGATAGGACTTCACCCAGGGTGCTGCAGGCCCCCTGACAGAAGGTCAGGTTAGGAGGGGTGAATAGTCAGAACTTATATTGATAAGTTATGTACCCTCTGTGCTGTAAAAATGGGCCAGAACGATTCTAGTGAAAGAAGTTTATATGCTGATATTATTAAACATACCTTATATAGGAAGTGCATTAAAGTTAGCAAGAAGCAATTATTAGAATTTTTACAATTTGTACAAAAAGTTAGCCCATGGTTTATTGAGCAGGGCACTTTAGAATTAAACACATGGGACCAGGTAGGGAATGATATGAAAAGGTGGTATCGGAGTAATGGACGAGTGGGCATGCCATCCTCTGCATATGCCATTTGGAATGTCTTACGGCAGGCACTAGATGTGGGTCCTGAGTCTTATCCTGCGCCTTCAGCTCAGCAGGGAGAACATACTCCCCTTCTTGATCCTGAGAAGGGAGGCTTAGGCCTTAGTTATAGCTCAATGGAAAGTGTCTGTCCTGAAGATAAAGTAAAATATTGTAAAACTGATCATGGAGGTTTAACAGATGAGGAAGAAGATTTTTTTAAACCAGAAATATTTAGATCAGGAGTTAGAGATTGTGAAAAGGGGCAAATGGCTGAGTTACATGATAATAGGTCTCCTTCTGTTGATGATAAGCCTTCAAGGTATTCTGCTAAGCCTTGTGAGCCCCTTCCAGCAAGACCAGATCCAGCAAAGGTTGGCTTTAGAGGAGCAATGCAGCAGGCACAGAAGGAAGGTGATTTTTTCTGTTTTCCTGTTGTCTATGAATGCGATGAACCTGAATGGGAGCCACTGTCTTATAAGATTATTAAAGAACTAAAGCATGCTGTCTCTGACTACGGGCCAAACTCCCCGTACACTATGGCAATAGTGGAGAGCCTAGCAGCAAAGTGGATGACTCCTTATGATTGGTTTCAGGTTGCTAAGGCTTGCCTCACTGGCGGAAACTTCCTTTTGTGGAAAATGGAATATGAGGAATTAGCTAAAGCAGAAGTAAAGTCTCAGAGATCTGTGAGGTGTGGCAAATTTTCTTTTACCTTAGACATGCTTTTAGGACAGGGCACTCATCTTGGCGTTGCAGAACAACTCACTCTGCCTAAGGAGACATTACAGCTTATCTCCTCCCTGGCAATAGGAGCGTGGAAACACCTGCCATCTCCAGATCAAAAGTCTCCAGGTTTTGTAAATGTTAAGCAGAAGCCTGAGGAGCCTTTTGAAGATTTTGTAGCTAGACTCACCGAGGCCGTGAACCGGACAGTAATTAACAATACAGCTACAGATCTCATAGTTAAACAGCTAGCTTTTGAGAATGCCACTCCAACTTGCCAAATCTTAATTCAGCCAGTGAGAAGGACAGGAGATTTGTCAGACTATGTTCGAGCTTGTGCTGAGGTAACTCCATCTTATATGCAAGTGTTAACTATCGCTGCAGCTCTTCAGGGTCAAACTGCTACTCAGATTTTAAAGAACATAAGAGGCAATCAAAGAAATAGAAAAAGAAACAATTGCTATTCTTGTGGTGGAGTAGGGCATTTCAGCCACAGCCGTCCTGCCAGAAACTCATCCCAAAATTTCAGACAGGAAAAACTTATAGGGACACTTCTAAGCCCAATTTAAATATTCCTCGCACTGTCTGTCCACGGTATGAGAAGGGATTTCATTGGCAAAAGACTTGTCAGTCTAAATTCCACAAGAATGGGACAGTTCTACTGCCTCGCAGTCGATCTAAATTGAGTAAACAGTCTATACAGGATGAGGTGCAGGGAAACGAGAGATGGGCCCTGTCCTGGGCCCCCCAAGTAATGAGGACATGTATGGATATTGTCTCTGAAAGGTACAAAACTAAAATGATGAGTGCTGCATTAAGCAATGGTTTAAAGCAAAATAGATCTAAATGTCATAATTGTGGCAAATTGGGACATATGTGGAAAGATTGTAGGAAATCAAATACCCAAAAATCCGGTAAACAACTTATGGGTTATCTAAAAGCCTGTGGTAACATGGGGATTTTCAAACACCCTACTCACCTTGCAAGGTTTCAAACCACTGCTATTCAGAAGCAAATGAATGCTAAGTGTTCTAACTGTGGGAAACCCAGCCACCTTCCAAAACAATGCCAAGCAGCACCTCTTTTAGCTCAAAAATGTGGCACTAATACTGTTAAGGATCAATGCCCTAAGATAAATTCTAAATGTCACAGAGGTGTACATTGGGCAAAAATATGTAAATGTAAATCAAAAATTGATCATGATGGCCAGCGCCTGTTGTCAGGAAACTCCTGGTGGGGCTAGTCTCAGGCCTTGAATAATCAGAGGTTTAAAAGACAGCAATATTTTACCCAAGCTGTGCCTATAGAAGAGTAACAGACTTAAAATCTGATATTGATTATGGAAATGCTAATTAAAAGTTGGTATCTTCCTTGGCAATTAATTATGCTACCTACTGTTCATACCCCAACTAGATGCTTGTGGCAACAAGGGTCTTTTGAGTGGCTGCATCTCCTTTCCATGTATAAAAAGGTTATTACTCCTTATTGTGCTTTGGTCTCCACATTAATTATTAAGAGATATCATAGGAATAGGAGCCTGTTTGCAAAGATGTAAATTAAATAATTATTTCTTATAGCTCTTAATAGCTTAGTTATCTAATACCCAAGGATGAGACGTGACAAATAGCATTCTTAACCCTTGTGGGTACAATTTCATACCATTTAACTAAAAATCTCCTTCTTGTTAAAAGTCATCCGGTTATATTTCAAAAGATGTTCCTTAACTCCTTTGTTTTTAACCCTTTTTTGTTTCCTTAACCTGCTTCTTTAGTCTTTACAGATGGGTCATCTAACAAAATAGTTTCTCTAATCATAGATTTTGAAAATATCCTTACTGACCAATGGAAAGAACC